GCTAGTGAATACTTCAAGGAGGCCTCATCGGCTTTTGACAAAATAATTTTCTTCAATAATTGAGAATCCTAAACAAGAGACATCCTATAGTTAGGTTACTTAATTTCTTGTATGTTAGAGAATCAAAGAAAACCAAATTATCTAGTCAACAACCAATGAAAGTCTAGTTTGGTTAGAATTTGTGGCCTTCATACCTCTGTCTTCACCAGCAAAAGTTAAGAGGAATAAAAGTAGCTTATATTCTGTATATCACGCTTATATCTTTTAGTGATATGCTTAGAGCTGAGCATCGTCCCATGCCGGGCCGCCGAGGGTCGTGCCTCGCCGTGTCAGGAGGTGGGTCGTGCCGTGCCGTGCCGGCCTGGGTGATGGCGGGCCGGGTCGTGCCGAGCCATGGGCCAACCCATTATTTTTATTATTAATTAATTAATTTTAATATATTTATTATTTTTATTTTTATTATTTATAGTTCTTTATATTATTATGATTCTTTTTATTATTTTTATTTATATAATATTTATTTTTTTTATTTTTTTTTATTTAGTTTTTATAATTATGGGTCGTGCTGGCGGGCCGTGCCGTAGGCAGTGCTGGCGGGCCAAAAGTTTGTGCCGCTCGCAGGCTCGTGCCGGGTTCGTGCCGAATTTTTATTTTTTTGTTCATGGCATGGCCAACCCCTCGTTCGCGGCCTCATGCCGCTAGCGGGCTCGTGCCGTGTCGGGCCGCTATCGTGCCATGCCCGTGCCTCCTGCGGGCCGGCTCGGCCCATGCTCGGCTCTAGTTATGCTTATGCTACGTTAGGGCATCTCTAATGGTATATAAAAGGGGTCTTAATTGTAGATTAATTAATAACATTATAAGCATGTAGCTTACCATTGGAGTGAAAAATTGATGTAACTATATGATTAAACAAGCTGCGCTTGAATTTTTGTAAAGAAAACAATATCCAATTAAGTTATAACATTTGTATGATAAAAACTACTGATTATTTTTTTTCCTTGCAAACTACAATAATATGGGAATAAGTTAAAAATTGCTTATGAATAGTCATATGAGTGTCAATGAAATTGTTCATAAGAAATGCAACTTAAATTTCACATAAATGCAAGGTAAATAGCTCTTGTGCATTTGATGACTTAGCCACTTTGTATGCCATTTTTTTTTTCAAGGTCAACAACCACATATTCCTATCTCTCTCCTCCCACTCTCTTTCATAATCTTCCTCTTTTGAGTAGCTTTTAGGCTTTGTTTGATTAATGGGATTTGGCCAGAAAAGAAAAAAAAGATGTGAATTTTATTATTTTCCCATATTTGGTGTGATAAATGATACGAAAATTGATAAGAAAGAAAAAGAAGTGAAAGAAAAGAGTCTTTATACACTTTTCTTTACTCTTAAGACGGGAGGAATTTGAGAGGAAAAAGAAAAGAGAAGCTATTGCGTGCGAATGTCCGCACGCAAATTTCCGTGCGGCTAGCTTGGCTGATATGTTTTACTTGTTGGCTGATATGTTTCATTTGTTGGCTGCTACGGTTTTTGTGTTGGCTAATATATTCCTTTTGTTGGCTGATATTTTTTTTTTCCTTTTGTTGGCTGATATCAGATATCATTTGGCTTATATGTTTCTTTAGTTGGCTGATATATATTTATTTTGTTGGCTGATATATTTATTTTGTTGGCTGATATATATAGTTTAATGTTGGCTTATATGTTTCATTTTGTTGGCTTATATGTTTATTTTGTTAGCTTATATGTTTATTTTGTTGGCTTTCCTGATACTTTTGTTTGCTGATTTCATCCTTTTGTTGGCTGATATGTTCCATCTCTTGGCTGATAAGTACCTTTTGTTGGCTGATATATTCCTCTTGTTGGCTGATTTGTATCTTTTGTTGGCTGATTTGTATCTTTTGTTGGCTGATACGTTTTTATTAATGTCTGATATGTCCCTAATATTGACTGATATCAGACATCAATTGACGAATATGGGGACATGTCACTTGTGTTATATATGTCAAGATTTGCATTGAATGTAATAAAAGACGGAAATTAAATGATGGAAAAAACAAGTAAAACGCGAAGAGAGGCACGATATGGTGATGCGGAAAACTCCAATGAAGATGGGTAAAAACCGCTGGTGGTTATGAGCTGAGTCCACCAATCCATTATAATAGTATGGACATAAAGTCATTGATTACAAGTACGATGTATATTTGATATGACTATTAGTCCACCAATCTACTATAATATGGACATAAAGTCATTGATTACAAGTACGATGTATATTTGATATGTACTCCGTATATTTCATAATATGAAAAAATAATCTAGATAAATACCTGCACTGCCAAGGATTACTAATATGATTACTAATATCCGAGAGGCCCCGGTGGATAGGGGTGAAAGTTCGGTTTATGGTGTGGTTTATAGCCCAACTCGAAACCAAACCACATTAATTCGCTTTTGGGATTTTTCAAACCACGCCGCACCATATTACTATTGAAACCGAACCAAACCACACCGTTTTTAATTCGGTTTTTCAAAAGAAAACCGAACCACGCCAAGATTTTTCATCCTCTTCCTTTTTGCTCCATCTAATTGGTCATTCACTCCAACATCGCCCACATTGGTTGACATTCTAGGACATAAAAACACACAAGTTTTATTATTTTTTGGCTTTATATATGTAGGGTAGAAATTAGTATTGGGCTAGGCTATAATTTGGATATGGGCCATAATTCGGTTTGGATTTTGGTTTTCGGTGTTTCAATCTTAAAATCGAAACCAAACCATATTAATTCGTTTTGGGATTCCTCAAACCTCACCTAACCATATTAGAAAAAAAACCACACCACATTTTTAATTCGGTTTGGTTTGCGATTTGGTTCGATTTTAAACCGCATTAGTTTCACCCCTACCGGTGGAAGATCCCCTTTGACCGCAATATATAGTTGTATCTATTATTACATTCAACGCATGCTTAGCTTTTTAAATTTTTTGGACTTAAAATGATAATGAAGTTATTTTTTTGCCTTAAAAATGTGATTATCTTCTTAAAGCTAAGAATAATTAGCTATGTTGGGTGACTAAATGGAATAAACCAGCTATGTTGGGTGACTAATTAATCCAAACAAATTTATCAGAGAGGCCCCGGTGGAAGGCCAAAAATATCCAGACCTTAAATTTTTAAGCTCGAATCATAACATTACACATTTATTTCATAACTCACAATTTATCTATTACAAATCTAAAATGGTATGTATTTTTAAATTATATTATTTTTGTACATATATTATACATACATTATACATGTACCGTAATATGTTGTTTGCACCTATTGACCCATATAAATTTGTGTAAATTAAATTTCTAGATCAAACTCGTATATTGTTTTCTTATAGTGATTAATTAGTAAAAGCGGTGCATTGATAGAAGTAGGGTGTATGTATAAATTTCCCCAAATGAGTAGACCATGAAACTAAGGGAGTTTGAAGAATGGCAAAAAAGAAGAAGCTAAAAAGTGCTATTGGAGCATTTGAGGTATTTAAATCTAACGAACCCCAACTTCTATTTTTTTCTTTCTAATTATTTTATTTTTTCATACGTATTATATTTTAATAATTGTTTTTTAAATAAGTTCTCAGTTAAATGTATGCATGCCCAAAATCAGATTGTTAATTGATAAGAAGCACAACAATAATATACTAGCACATTGCATGGCATCAAAAAAATCACTCGATTTATTATTTTGCTAATTTTTTTAGAGGGAATTTTTCAATATTAATCCATAAAATAAAGGTTCGGTTTTAATTTTAGTTTTAAATGTACTTAAACAATTATGTGCTACTACGCTACCCCGACCCTGATTGAAAATCCCGGATCTACCACTAGCCGTGGTACATGAGTAAGCTATTAATACTTAGGGGTGAGCAAAAATTCAGGGTACCCTGACTTGGAATTGAAACCTGCTCGGAACCGCAGGTTCCAAAATCGGAACCTGTAGATCAGGTTTCGGTTCCGGGTAATAAAATTGGGAACCTGTTGCAACAGGTTCCAGTTCCGGGTAATAAAATTTTGGACCCGGAACCTATAGGGTACCCTGTTAGTACAGGTTTTATGTAGGGTACACAAAATCGAAACCTATCATTTAAGCCCAAATATAAAGCCCTATATCAAAATTGTATAAAAGTCGTCACTTACCTCTCTCCCTCCTCTTATTCATTTTTCATCTTACTCTTAAAGGTTTAATTAATGGTATTAATATAAGTATTTGTAATATTTTATTAAATATCCTTGACAATCAATGTTGGTTTGTTTTATTTGTAGTACTGTATTAAAGTTGTAAGCTTTTATTGTGAACATCCATTTTTATAAAAAAAAAATTTGTAACAATTTATCAAGTAGCTATTAAGCTTACTTTGAAAGACAGGGTACCCTGTTCCAGAATCGAAACCTGCAGGTTTCGGTTCCGGTTCCCAATTTTTATGAACCTGTTGAACAGGTTCCGATTCCTATTTTTCAAGAACCTGTTGCAACAGGTTCTGATTTCGGTTCCGGATCCTGAGATGTTTACAGGGTACCCTGCTACGCTCACCCCATTCTTAGTTCTTTAGGAGATAAGCACATACTTCGTATGATATAGGCATAAACATAAGATATACCAGTAGTTATTAGGCTAGTGGGGTATATTTACGGCATAAGGTACTAATTAATTTAAAAAGATAAATATCATATGGAATTATGAAGGCAACATTAAATTGTTATTACCATAAATTAAATAATTAAATAAAAGAACATACATTAAGTCGTCTATGGAAATTGCAAGGCCAGCATGTCATAGTATTAGTTACAACCTCCATATAATTATGTGGAACAAAATGATGAATATTTAAATATTAATCACAAAATGCATGAGTACAAGGTTTCGTCAAAAAAATGCATGGGTAGGTTGTCAGCTAGGTTGAGGAGCTAGCGCACCAACCTAAGCTTCTATAAATAACAAAGATAATGAAGGCAATTAAAGCAGTGTTTAGCTAATTATAATCTAAATACAATTAAGAGACTATTTATTTGGGTTCGAGTTAAAATGATGAAGGTCTCGCCCAAATTCTTTGTTCATGCTATTTTAGTAATGATAGTCATGTGGTGTGCTGCAACAGGTTACTAAAATAAAATTCTTTAAATTTATATGTATTATGTATATAATATTGTTTAATAATAGAAATGTTTTAAAAAAATCAAAAAAAAAAATCCAACTTTTCAATCAGCCAATTACCATGTACAAGTGTACAACTATCTAAAATCTTTCTTCCTCAATTCTACACAATCTATATTTCGTGCATATCATTAGCTCAGGTACCTTATAGTTTCATCTCATTTATTAATTTGTAATTTTTGCATTCAATTCATGAATAAATTAAAATGTATTATACATGCTACATGCATTAGACACGCACTTTTTATAAACGAACTGCGTATAATTAGTTCTTTTATTTTTATTTAGTTATTTTTCATATTCATGTAGCTCCAGCACTTGGAAACCAGAAACAACATTCTAATATATTAGAGACTTTTGGGGGCGAAAACAAGAGAATTGCAACAATAGTCTCGTCGCCTTCTATGGAAAACGATTTGATGTGTGCAGCCGTAGGCGCGTATTGTAACCCTACATTCGGACCTAGTTGTTGCCCGGGTAGCACATGCGCAAATCCTGTACCTCTTACAGGTGGTGTGTGTGTGCAGCAGCAACTGGTAAACCTATGATTAAGGTATAATCTGCGCGATTATATATATGTTCAACTGTTATATACGGAAGCTAAATCAGGCCAAGTTATTGTATAAGAATTGCCATGAAGGTTGTAATATACAGTAATTGATGAATTGTTGTTATCGTGTGATTGAATTGGTTGGTGAATAATTAATGAGTATAAGTGGATTTATGCAAATCAAGTTTGTATAGTTTTTTTTTTTTTTTTTTTTTTTTTACAAGTGCGTATGATCTCAATTTGACACACCTTATTACTGACATCCCTAGGCAAATTTGAGTTGCCATTTTTCCGACTTTCCCCCAATTGGAAACTGCTAATCCAAATGGCAGATGACGTGGACATGGACGCGGTAAATTGGGAAATTATAAAAGAGTACATAATCGTTTTTTATGGAATTGCAACTTTTCTTAGCATTTGAGGGAATGCGTTTAATTAAATAAAGTCTCGTTTCACCATCATCTACTATTTCTTTCACTTTTAATAAACCAAATCTCATATCTAATTCTTTATTATTTACTTTTTTTCAAAGTATTTTTTTTTATTACTTACTTTAATCCATTAAATCTCACTATCTTGTTTATTTATTTAAATTTTAATCAACCAATAATCCTCTATGAACCCATCTTACTTTTTTTATTCAATCACAGCGAGACTTTTATTTAGAGATGATGGAGGGATCGAAGTACAATTCACAGCTTCTGACCTGGCATTGAATGAGACACAACCTTAGCCCTTAGGAAATTTGATGATGTCCATCACCGATGAGTTTGTTAGAGATATTGGATTAAGAAAGTATATTTGTATATGATATAATTTCCTTATATAATTTTCATACTGGTATTATAAAATTAATATTTTTTCATTATTTGATAAGATATGATTTGCTAATAAATATTTATATTACACTAAATCATATCTTTAGGATTTATGGTAAGATTGGTTTTAGGAGATTGTTTCACATTTTATGTTATTATCTTTGATTTTGTATAAATACTCTATCTATTGATAAATAACCAAGTTATACTATTAACATTTACCCTATATTTGTCATATAAATGAATTATAAACAAGCTATGCTTAAACTTGTGATTGTTAAATCTTATGATTGAGGACGTAGCTAGATTGATCCATTTGCTCCCTCCCTTCGTTTTACTTGTTAGATTTTTTTTATGGTCTCTAAACCACATCTTAGAATGTGATTTTTTCCAACTCTATTTATGAATTAATTTTAAAATACAACATCCCTACATGATTATATTATTTTTATTTATTTTTTTATTTTTTTGACAGGATATGATTATATTATATTTTTATAGCTCACTTAGTGATAATTTAAGAAAAATTTAAGATATTACTCACAAAAGTGTAATGGGGCAATGAGGACAAACAGAGTATATAGTATACAAAAGGGGCAACATGTGTGTATAGAGTACCTCAAACTTAACGGCGGCACTAGTAGTGATATGAGATTGGACCTCGTTATATTTGATTTTTTTTTTTTTTTTACCTTTCGGCTTGAAATAAGATTAAAATCACTCAATATATATATAAATAATTAAATTCTAAATTCGGTCATGTTCTCTTCACCTATACCTAATAGTATTTTGTAAAGATGATTTACGTTCAGCTCATATACAATTTAAAATAAATTAAGTTTAACAAAAATAAGTTAGGTAAAAATAAGTATTGATGCATAAAAATCAAGTAATTCTAATTTTAAATAAAGAATAGAGTCCTTAATACTAAGCAAGTGATAAAATTTAAATATGTTACTTATTTTATACTTTAATTTATAAATCAAGAAAATATAAAACTCTGTAAAATATCGATCAAAGAAACCACGCAACTTTATTGTCAAATAAAAAAAAAAAAAAAAAAAAAAAAAAAAAGCAACCACGCAACTACATGCTGACCTATTGTCCACCAAACTATCCTCCTCTCACTCTACTCCTATTTTAGTAATTAGCATTAAATTATTTTCCTTGTTTAGTAATTAGCATTAAATTATTTTCCATGGTCTCCAAGCATTTTAATAAAAATATAATACGGAGTATTATTTAATTTTATTTACAGAGCTTGGCCTCCAAGTATTTGCTTAAATTAACTTTCTAAAAATCTTATCATATATTCCCCTAAAAATTTTCTTAGTTTTAGGTTTCCACAAAAATATGACTTCGTGCCTCCTTACTATGGCGGTTTAGCACACACTACTATATATACAAGTTGTTTCTTCATATTTTCAGTGAAAAATACAGTTACTAGCTAAATTTTCCTCCCTTTTCTTTTCCTCCAATTTCTACCCTTTCCACCCAAGTCTCTCCGATATTTTTAAAAATCGGAGAGGATATCGTCACTAGAAAAACCCTAAAAAATTCCTATCCCGGCTTAAACCATGGAAACTACATTTAATGCAGGGTCTATATTCGGGTACTATGCCTCTTTTTCGGCTTTTTTAACACTAGGCCAACAATCTTACAATCAATTTGTCCCTCAACAAATACGTGAATACATTAATGAGAAAGTTATGAAGTGGTTCGCGAAACCATCAATTTTGGACCCCAAATTTTTTACATTAGTCGTTCGAGAGTGCTACAAAGACAAAGGCTACGAATGTAGCAACGGTGTCTACAAGGCTTTTGAAGCATACCTTGCCGACAAGCTCAAGCCTTTATCGACACAACTCGAGGGATGTCGTAGGGACAAGCACTACGGGCACGAAGTGTACTACCACCTATCGCAAGGGGAAGAGTATGTTGAGTATGTAAAATTAGACAAAAACAATGAGATGTAAAACTACATTGGGAGTTTTCTTGCAAAAATGAGAAAGGAGAGGAGATTAACGCCTCTAATGTCCATAAATCCTTTTTGTTGAGTTTCGATCCTCAATACAAGGATATAATTCTCGATAGCTATATTCCCTCGGTCGTGATGAAGAGTTAGGACACCATGATCGAGATGAGGAAGGTTATTTATCTGTACACGTATCAAGGCGGGATGTCATCGAGGCATTGGCACCCCGTGTCGTTTAAACATCCCTTCTCATTCGATGCTTTGGCGTTGGATCCGGAGTTGAAGAAGTCGGTAGATGATCTCGATATGTTTACAAGGAGGAAGGAGTTTTATAAAAAGATTGGGAGAGCTTGGAAGCGAGGGTACTTGCTGTATGGACCTCCCGGGACTGGCAAATCTAGCTTGATTGCAGCTATCACGAATTACCTGAAGTTTAGTATCTACGACTTACAGCTTTCTGGCATCGAAAAAGATACTACCTTAAGGAATTTGATGATGTCCATTGCCAATAAGTCTATACTTGTGATCGAGGATATCGACTGTGCCACAGGTTTGTCGAAGAATGCTCCTCTTACAAGGGAAAATCATGAGTACAACGGTTATACTTCTGATGAGTACGATTCCGATGGATACGATAATGATGATAACATTAAAGTTCAACCAGGAGGTGAGCCTAATTCCAATGATGTAGCCGAAGTTGGCAACTCTTCATCGCTTTCAGGGCTATTGAACTTTATCGATGGATTGTGGTCTAGTTGTGGAGACGAGCGGATCATCATCTTGACAACGAATTATAAGGAAAGGTTAGACCCGGCTTTGTTGCGTGCAGGACGTATGGATATGCACATTCACATGTCTTACTTGAGAATGCCGGGGTTCCGGATCCTGGCTTCCAACTACCTTGGACTGTCAGGGGAGCATCCTCTGTTTTCGAAGATTGAGGAACTGCTCAATACAACAGACGTGAGTCCTGCTGAAGCTGCGGAGGAGCTTATAAGGAGTGAAGATCCTGATATCGCCCTTTCCGGAGTTGTTAAAATGTTAAAGCAGAAGAAATCAGATCAAAGCTCTCAAAAACAGAAGAAAAGAAAGAAGAAAAACAAGAAGGGTAGAAATGCAATGAAAAGGGAGAAAGTAGATGCAAATGTAAATAATAATGGTGAATTAACTAGTCAAGTAGTGGAGGGTTGAATTACGCGGCATTATTGTAATTTAATTCATTGAAATATGCCTAATAAAATTAGATTTCAGCAGAAATTTGATTTTCCGAGGTAGTATATACAAGTAATGACTAGATTCGATACAGTAATTCATGAGAATGAACCTCAAATCTACTACCAAAGCCGCCAAAAGAATGAAACAGCAACAAATGTGCAGATATTTATTGTAAAGAGTAACTCAGAAACAGAACACTAACAGAGATGACCATATTTTCGGATATTTATCTGTACAGAGTAACTCTGAAACAGAACACTAACAGAGATGACCAAATTTTCGACTTTTTAAACAGCAAAAGCATGGACTGTATGAACATTTAGACTATCAGAGACATTATTGATAAAATTCTTTGTTAATTAAATCAAGATCTACTGTATTGGGGACTAATCAAAATCAATCAAATAACACCGCACTTTTTTCCCAGAAATGCATTCACATTAACTCATCTGACTCAAGTATTACACCAGGCGCTCTGTAAATATGATACTTGTGTATTGTGTCGCTAAAACACAACTAGTTTATTAGAATTGGTAATAAAAATGACCATTGATTTTTACTTTATCTTATATACCAGACTTTCAGTTGATTATATGTCACTCCTTACCCAAAATCTTTTCTAAGCACAGTGCACGTAGATCTTAGGCGCTCGCTCTCTTATGCTTCTCAGCATTGAGAGACTTGTGGTGCTCTGTTTTTCCTCTGCCTCAACAAGGTCTTCATATAGTTAAAGAAATTTTATAGTTTTAGGTTTGTTGAAAAATCATAAAATCAAGTTAAGGACAGAATCATGAGTTTGTCAATATGTTCTGTTTCTTGGACTTCCATTTCAAGGTAAATCATTTCCAATGTAAAAATTATGAACTAAATGAATCAACATAAAACAGATCTAACGAACGCCTAATACAGAGAAGTTTGATCATTATCATAGGACATAGATGAATCTTCCCCCATCTACATAAACAAACTTTAAACTATCATGAAGACCATTGAAACTAATTTTGTCTACCGAAATCCTAAATAGAGACCAAAGACCCAAAAGCCCCACCAATGACAATACCTAGAGAAGAAAGGGAAGGGGGAGAGTAAATACAAACATTCCATCTCACTTCTTTTTTTTCTGTGGCGGTTGCTGCTTTTCATCATCATCGTCTTCTTCTTCATCGTCATCATCTTCATCGTCATCATCACCATCGTCATCATCGGAGTCGTCGTCATCGTCATCGTCATCATCATCACTACTGCCCGCACCACCGTTTGCCATATCCTCTTCAGGATCTCCATCATCATCACTCTCCTCACCTCCTGAAAAGTCCTCATCATCATCGTCGTCATCATCACCACCATCACCATCATCATCATCATCATCTTCATCATCGTTTTCTGAATCACTGGCATCTTTGGCCTCACCTTCAGCTTTCGTTACTTCATAAACGTCAGACAAAGAAATCCTGCCAATTCAGAGTAATCACCAGTCAACTAATATTCCACACAATACAACAGAAATTGAAAGAATGTGAAAGGTAAGTAAATACCATTTATTCTTGAAAAGATCATTGTCTGCAAGATGTTCTGCAGTCTGTAATGGTAAAGTAAGACAGGAGAATAATCAGATCAAAGTGAGGAACTAAAAGAAAGAAGCCCGTCACAAAAAAATAAAAATAAAAAAGTAAAAAAAAATGATAAAGAAACAGTAAAACTGGTGAGGATTATAGGAGAACAAGCTCATTAAAAGAAGTCATTTGGCCATCAGAAGCAGGTCGGACTACAGCTACTCAAAAAGGTATTTTGCTTTAACTACAAAAGGGTTATAGCAAAGGCAATATGTTTGCTGAAGACATGAGCACATGACACAAAACCAAGATCTGATCCTTGTAATAATACTGATACAAAAGCATGAAACAAATTTCTATCAAGTCCTCACTATTAAGCTTCAGATACATATACTGATATACAATGTACACAATAAAGTTCCCGATGCAATCAATCAATCAAATATCTGAGACACAATTGAAGGACTTGATGGTAGGCCAAGTCGCTATTCGTACATAATTCACTATACTTACATAGCTTAGTGCCTAAAGAAGGGGGGAGGGCCGGAGGGGGGGTGGGGGGGAATCAATAGTCCAAGTCAACAAGACCAACAAAAAGTGAAACATGCTAAAACATTATGCTTCTCAGAACTGTACACTAAATAAAGTAAAAACAATCTCTCAACTCGAATATAAACTAAACCAAAGCACACTAGCCAGTGCATCCACCAACATCTCAATTATGTAAGTGTTTCTCTCCCAAAAATTGATCTCTATCATATAAAATGAACACCCGAAATTGGACACATATTATAGGAAGTTCATCAAAGCCAAAGCACACCGGCCAGTGCATTCACCTACATCTTAAATTTTCCCATATAATATATATAAATACATCTTATATGTCTAAGAACCAAGATGCAAAAAACCGATTAAACCTAAATATAACGGCCCAAATGCAACATGACAAGACTAGCAAACACCATCATTGCCAAATCAAAACTGCACAATTGGGAAAATTACAGTGAGCCCCTCTTCAGGAACATCAGTCAAAGGTCAAATCATTGTAAATTAAGTCCATAAACTTAACAAAGCGTCAAAAATCTTCGCACAAAAGTCAGCTACTATAATTGATAACAATTCAATAATGACCATTTTAATCCAAAATTAGAACCCAATTCTGAAATTAAAAATAAACCCACTTGCAAGTACTTACTATAAATACAAATTCAACAACAAAAGACCCTTAAAAACACAACTAAGTTCACAAAATTGAAACATTTTATTCATAATACTTAACAAAGCATTGAACTTTTTCACCCAAATGCCAACTGCAAACAGTAAATAAGCAGGTAGAACATCAAACACAAAATTGAAACCAATTCCACATTTTCCTTAATCACAAAAATCCACTAAACCCAAAAAAGAACTCAGTTCTGAAATTAAAAGACACCCATTTGCAATTACTCACTCTAATCAGAAACCCACATCAAAATTTACCCAAATTCTAGCAATTATTAATAAGAAATTGAAAAAGGATTGAGAAAATTACCAAACAAAGGAGAAGAAATCTCTGGAGAAAGGCAAGAGATTGAAGAGAAGCAAGAACAAGTTCAACCTTGAGAAAATCCATTAAAGAGGAGACAGAAGCCTCCATTGAAGCAGAGCAACTGAGAAGCAACTGTGTGTCCATATTGAAGTGGAGTGAAAGAGAGAAAAAGAGACAAGGATTGAGATTGGTCAAAGGGAAAGAAAGTGAGACTAGGGAAGAGTTAATATTCAGGAGAATTCAGGGTTTTTAGGGTTTTAAGATTGTCTGGGCCGGGTCAACTATATCTACAGTGATTGGCTAATGGCATGTGTCATAGACTCATCGTATCAAATTTGTTTTTGTTTCTCATTTTTTGTAAGAAGTGATTGCTACATCGCCCAAGTGGATAACTAGATACTCCCTCAATTTCCTTTTGTTCTTTACGTTTGGAATTATGCGTGATTGTTAAGATTTTATGTAAAATTAAAATAAATTGACATAAATCAATCATTGACAGTACAATTATAGTTAAAAAAAAAAGGAATATTATACATGTGGGTAAAAAAAGTAGGAAGAAAGTAGAAGAGAGATGAGAGAAAAAGTAATAATGAGTATTGAAAACCCATTAAAATATTATAAATAGTACAATTGCACATGAAAAGAGAAGGGTAATTGAGTATTTAAATTGTAAAGCAAGGGTAATTTTGTCCAAAATTAATGACTTAAAAAGGAAAGATCCTAAATGTAAAGAATAAAAAAGAACACCCTAAATGGAAACGTAAAAAACAAAAGGGAACGGAGGGAGTAATACATATTCTCTCTATATTTTATTATTTGCTTCATTTATTCATGTGTGTAGTTCACCTTGTGACTTTGAAGTCACAAGTTCGAGCTTCACTAACTACAAAAATGCTTGGGAGTAGGGGGATTTCCCTGCCTTCACCTTTCTACTCTCAAACGTTGACCTGTGATTTTAGTAGGAATAGTGGAAAGTAATAAAATATAATGAAAGTGGGGGGTTAGTTGAAAGCTAAAAAATCTGAAAAAATAAAATTGAGTATAAGTGAGGAGGGGAGTGAATATGAAAAATATTATAATATGTGAGAGGACCACTAGTGGAGTGGAAAATAGTAAAATATTACTAAAAGTTTACAAAAAAAGAAATTGAGCAAGTAATTAAAAAAAAGGTCGCAAAGAAAAGTTGAGTAATTAATAAAATACGGAGGGAATAATATTTTAGATACACTTTGTGCTCCCGCAACGAATACGGAGGGATCAATAATTAAGCGTGTATGAGTCGTAAGGTTGTTTTTTATTTTTTATTATCTATATATATATATATAATATTTTAATAATACATAGCAATACATGACATTTACCGTACATAGCGAAATATATCATGTATTGTAGACTCTTTATTTGTGCAAACAACGAATGTAAAGAAATTCTAAAAACGGGAAGTAACACTCTTAATTGGTTAGAAATAACATGATAATGAACAAATCAAAGTAGCATGACAAATTGACAATCACCGAAACTAGCATTTGAAAATAACACATCTTTTAATTGAACAATTAGTTATTTTTGTTCATTGTCATGCCATTTTTAGTTTATTTTCAAGTCAATTTTTTTTAATATGGTACTATGGGGGGCACAATCTACTACAGAATTACTAAGTCAATTAAAAAAATATATATCCTATTTAATTTATTTTTTTTTAAAAAAAAAAAAATCATTGTTGGGAAGTTTTTTATTAAGGTGGAAAAGTTATACATGGACAAGCTATGTTATTTTTTGTTAATCATCATGCTATTTCAAAGTACAACATTTACCTACACAGCAAAGCCCCTACCAGTAATATGCAAACCATTTATCTGAAATTTTGATAATGAAAATGAACTTATGAACGACATGATCTTATTAAAAATATAAAAATGTAATAGTTAGAAACTCACAATTTTCTCGAAATTTGAAGTGTAACTTCCCTAGTAACAATATACTCAGAGATATAATGTTACAACAAACAATGACAATCTAATGAGCCTATGTATAGTTTTCTTATGTATTTTCTAAAATACAATACATCACAATAAACAAGTTTTGAATCCCTTTTCAAGTTCCTGGCCATCCAAGTTCTTTCCAATGAATACAATTTTGTTGATCCTTGGCTCATCGGGTCCCCATGGGCGATCTGGTGAACCTTGGAATATATCATGAACTCCCTGGAGAAAGGAAGAAATTAACAGCCATCCAGAGATACAGCAAAATAAAAAAAATACAACTAAAGGCGGGATTGGCATCATGGCCATTTATAAATCGCTCAACTTGCAGTCTTGCACAAATCATTTGCACTGAGTCAACAAATCAATAACTAGTTTCGTTAACTGCTGGAGTAAGATTAGATCAAATAAAGAAGCAAATTTTAAAGATTGTGTAACACTGAGAAAACATATTCCACATCATTTATTGGCATCACGTGTTCACATTTCTTGGGCATAGAAACTGCAGCTAGTCCAGTCAAATCATAATCAACACAATTGAATGGCTGATAGAACAGTTAGATTTTAGGGCCACAATTGTTAGCAACTATCAGCCATAAGGAACCATGTTGACAACAATTGTGAAAGTAATAAAGTTCTAAGGAATAATCAATGCAGTTAGATCAATGCCCTGGGAGTGTTGCAGGACTAATATAGAACAGTTAGATTTTAGGGCCCATAATGTATGCATCAGGACTCGAGTTAAAAAAAAATGATTCTTTGACACATTGAGTGGGAAAGATAAATTAAAAATGGGCTGAGCTTAACTACAATTCAGATAAGGGTGAACACTATTAAGCCATTTTGTTGGTATTCCCCAAGATTCAGATATTTCAGAGAAGTTAAGAGTATTCTCTAAAGGGCTTCACCAATTTGACCTTCTAGGCAAGAACTTCTACTCTATATTATTTCGCAATTGATTTCACAGCACTAGCAGTTTCCCTATGCAAACAAGTTGATATATGATTACTATTAGAGAGATTTGTATCGAGGTAGGTCTTTTAACAACAGACCAGGGATTAATTTGCCATGAGCAGAATAATAAATGGATGTAGCCTTTCAAACAGTGTGGAAGGGCTTCATACCTGAAATACAAATCTTTCATCCATACCCTCAACAGACAAAAGACCTTTCATCCTATATATGTCTTCGCTTCTTTCCAGTAATAGAGTACCTAACCACATGTTCGCCTGAAATTTAAGACAGCAGTTCTTAGACAAACTCAAGAGTGAAAAGGCAACCTGAACTGCATTGATAAAATCACAGCAAAGAAGAACGTCAGCATAATGGCTGATAGTTGCTAAACCCACAAATCTAACCTTATCAAGGTCCAGGCTCCCTTCACAAACAATGCTGACAGAAGAAACTCCGGGATCATGAGTGTGATCATGTGAATGATGATCATGATGATGTTCTGCAGTTAGTGACAAAATTGATTCATACAAATGAGACATTGATAAAACCTAATCGATTTCTATTACGTGGAACAGGGGTCCAGGATATTACAAGACTTCATAACAAATAAAGTAATAAATATTATCAACATTTACCATGCTCGTGTTCATGTTTGTGTTCATGCTTGTGTTCATGGTGATGTTCATGGTCATGATTATGATCATGATCATGACAACCATGATCTTCTTTCGAACTTTCTTCTGTTACTGCACTCTCTATCCTGTTAATTATTTGACAAAAATCAGCTTCTAAAAACCAGAATAATCATGCATTTCCAACAGAAATCTTTTTATACCTTCTTGATATGAATTTATTACCCTCAATTCATTTTTCCCTTCTCGAGATCAAGATTTTTAAGAATTTGTACATCTATGAGCCTTAAATGAAACTTTTAAAGCATGATTGTTAAACATTAAGCTCCTACTTATATTCCTAGATATACACCTCACAAGGTTCTCTCCCAACCTCTCCCTGACGTTGACCACTTCCCTCCCACAAACTACCAATGCTACCAGTCACCAGCCATAAATCACTCTCTAACCACACAACTGGCACAACCAATTAGCCACCCGTAAAATATTTTACTTCATGCAGGTTGTTTGGATAGATTAACCTACTTTAAACTGCTTGCATGAGGTATAATGATTAATGACCTATTCTGGAAACTTGCATCAAGTACATAGATATACTTTCAATAGCTTACACTAAGGTCCCCCCCTCCCACACCAACAAAAAAAGAAAAAAGTGTACAATCAGCAAAATAGAATTACTGTGCAAAATAGAATATTATACTCTAAAATTCGAGTCAAAGAATGATATTAGTGCAGGAATCTTTGGATGCATGCAGTACCAAGTTATCACCAAATAAAAACAATTATTGGCGATATTGAAGGGTGTGTTCAGACTTTTTTCTTAGCATACAGTAATTTTTTTATTTTACCAAAATTAGATCTAAAATGGATTTTAATATGCAGAACCATAAATAATCCAAAGTTTTGGACAGAATAAATTCACTGATATATATAATATCAATTAAAAAGGTCAAATTGTGAGTTTGTGACATATGACTATCTAGAGATACTTTAAAATTATAAATATCACTTATCTAAGTCATTTCAAAACATAATCAAGTGGCTAAAAAACTGTAATACTGTATCACACTGTTATTTTACTTCCTTTTGAGAACTTACAATTTAGTTGTCAGATTATGGTGAGATAACTAAAAGTTTGTCAAAATGTGAATGATACTAACTTAAGCCATCTATTTGTGAGGTCTTCCTTCCCCAATCACATAAACGCTTCAATATCCTGCTAGATTATTTGAAATTCCACATATATATATCTAATTAAATATCTCTTGCAGCAATCGCATTGTCAAGATGACTAGAAATTTAACTTCAAAATCATATAAATACCTTTGACTTAACAATCACCACAATACAAAGTTGATGGTATAAACCATTCTTATCATTAAACACTAAGAAAAGTACAAGTTTAAAGAATTCCTTAAATAGTTGGGATTTTTTTTTTAAGAAAAAAAACACATTATTATATGTAAAAATTCAGGGAAAGAGCATCACCTTTCTAAGTCAAAACCTCCAATACCAAGAACATAATCTAGGTCAACATTTCCGAACTGTGTTCGCTTTAAATTAGCCATACGATTAATTTTCTGCAGAAAACAAAATCAACAGTCCCATCATAAGTTTGAAATTTATCTGATAGCAAAAAGATAAAGATAAGGCACTTAAGATGTTATAAAAGAGACAAACCCTTATTCGTTGTATCAAAGAATCAATATCTGGTTCGTTGACAAGATCAGTCTGTGGAACAACTCATAGTTAGAACTTAGAAGAATATTAAAACAAGCAACTAAGCAAGACAAGTGCAAGCTTCAACTATTTTGATATAACAAACAAAAGGCAGATAAAAAATAATGGGGATACACGTGTAAACAAATTTAACACACACTCAAGGAATTATGTTAATTTTTAAAAAGACAATTATACCTTATTCACTATTATACGATCAGCATAGGCAATTTGCTCTATAGCCTCATTTACAACTCCATCAGGCTTAACCTCATCTAAGTGTAACGTCGCATGTTTAGCATCAACCAAAGTGACAACACCATCTAGCTTCACATCATTAAAGATTACATCTTCCGCATAAAATGTTTGAATGATAGGAGCGGGATTTGCTAAGCCTGCAAATCAACACAATCATAATGTAATCAAGAAAAATACATTGCCTAACCCATCATATTGCAAATTAGAAACAGCCACATTTTTTGCAGTGTTTGAAACAACCACTTGACCTATGGATAGGATAAGCATTATTAACTATAATCTTTCTGTACAATTAAAGAAATTTTAATTTTTGCTTCTAAATAATCACCCTTAGGGCTAGCATTCCCACAAATCAAAACATGTAGCATAGGTTCAGTCTTAATCCAAAGGCATAAGTCCTCCCTTTATCCCTCCACCCACCAACCACTAACCGGACATAGATAGTTAACGACTTTGTGGAAAATTGTACAATCACTATAATGCAAATTTTTATATACTTAGTAAATTACAAATACCTGTAGTCTCAATCACAATATGATCAAAATTTCCTCTCTTCTTATCTACTAATTCTCCTATCATCCTCACTAGATCACCCCTCACTGTGCAGCATAAACACCCATTATTGAGCATAATAATGTCTTCAGCTCCAATAGATTTAGCAGCAACCAAGGAACCATCAATGTCTACTTCACCATACTGCCATTCGAAAGGATCATCAGAGGGAAAGAGATCAAAACAAATTAGTACTTGATAGCCCAAAAAGTATCATTTACAAGAAATACTCTTGAACTACCAAAATTGAAGCTGAGTTTCAATTAAGAATATATATTTATTGACATTCATCAGACAGGCATTACACAAAATTGGAATAATTCTATTTCCAAAAAAGATTTTGGTGATTCAAATATCATACATTTAGTATAGCAATCTACAATGAATAGTTGAAAAACATACCTCGTTTTCAATTACTGCAATACGTTTCCCATGATCAGCAGTCAATATGTGGTTCAACAATGTAGTCTGTCAATAAAAATGTAAATCAATTTCAGAAAGAAACCAGACATAGTGAATCCACAAAACAAGACCCGATGTGGAACAATCAAAATCATGATCTAGCTCAAAGCTTCATGCACTACAAGGTAAAACATACCCAAAATTTAACAGGAAAGATACCCAGAATAAAGGTAAGGTAACTAAAGCTTTACAGGAAGGTGATGGTTCACTCCAAACACTATTACCTTACCTTGTTACCTATACACAAAATTTAAAGCCAAAATTTGAAAATCTCGACATACATGTGTTGATCAAATCTTGACAAATAGTTTTGAGAAATAAAATTTCAATGTCTAACTTGTACTCTACATTTTGTACAATATAAAAGGTTAAACATTGTTGTTGAAGACCACTAAAAATTGAAAGTAGGAAGATAAATCATTGATATAGTTACATACATTCCCACTAGTATGAGCCCAAGAAAAAAAAAAAAAAAAAAAAAAAAAAAAGGACCAACAATTTTATATAAAATACTGATTAATAAGATCAATCCATAAATATATATATTAGAAATTTACAATACTATGTTTACATTGAGATAACCATAAATTCCAACATATAAGGTATTTCCTAATCCAATTAGAAGCTAAAATAATAGAACTTCCATAAGACTGATGTATGATAAGATATATTTGACTTTTATTTACTCGATATGGAGTGGCTTATATAAGTATACTTTACTCAAAGGGGCGGCCTTTCATACGATCATATGAATATGGGATGCTTATTAATGACAATGGGGTAGTTTTGAGTACTTTTGACCGTCTTACTATATAATCCTGTCACTAATTAACTAAATTCAAAGTTACAACTTCACACCAAATCTGCTACATGAATGATTAGTTCAACACTGTCATCTCGAAAAACATAATTACTTAAAGACTTACCTATTTTCCATAAAAGGCAATACTTAATAAAACTTTATCTATTCAATCAGCAAAATAACAAATTGAAACTTACAAGTCTATAAATATAAACTTAACCAATTCAACTAGCAAAATAAGCAGATTGAAACAAACTAGAAGTATATTAATTAATTTAAAATTAACCAACCCAATCGCGAGTTAAGCAATAGTACTTCAAGAATCTAAACATACCAATTCAATTAGTAATTTAAGCAATTTAAAACAAATCATTACCATGAAAAATATAAGCCTTAACAAATTCAATTAGCAAAATAATCAAACCGAAACTAAACATAGTACTACATATGTGAATTTAAATTTCACCAATTCAATTAGCAAATTAATCTTAACTTATCCGATTCAATTAGTAATTTTAGCACATTAAAACTAATCAAAACTATGAAAAATATAAGGCTTAACCAATTCAATTAGCAAATTAATCAAACTGATACTGACTAACTATAGTATGTGAATTGAAACTAACTAATATATGAATTTAAACTTAACCAATTCGATTACCAATTTAAGCAAACAAACTAACTAATACTGTAAAATCTAAACTTAACCGATTCAATTAGTAATTTAAGCAAATTAATCAGTACTATGAAAAATATAAGCCTTAACCAATTCAATCAGCAAAACAATTAAACTGAAACTAATTATAGTATGTGAATTTAAACTTCACGAATTTCAATTAATAAATTTAAACTCAAACCAATTCAATTAGCAAATTTAAATAAACTAACAAGTATGTGAATTTGAATTTAAAATTAACCAATTCAATTAGTAAATTAAAACTTAAACAAATACAATAAGAAAAATACTCAATTGAATTACCTTTCCGGAGCCCAAAAATCCGGTAATAATAGTAGCAGGAATACGATTATCCGGAGGAATTTTGGTGACAACATCATCTTCTTCCGTAAACTCCGCAGAAGCCGCCGTCGAGGACGAAGCTGCGACGGAAAAACTGCGGAGATTCCGACGGAATTCCGGCGATTTGGAGGAGAGAGAAAGTGGTGAAAAACGGTGGCGAAGATTGAAGGAGAGAGAATTTGTGGTAGAGTGATAAGGTTTACGGTGAAAAGGGGTGAGAGAAAATTGGGGCTTGCGAAGAGGGTGGTGGAACGTGTGCCTGGTTGCTAGGGTTATGAAGGTTGAAGCTTTGGCAATGTCGATTGAGAGATATGACGCCATTGTTGATAGGAACAAAAACTGATGTGTTTATGAGTTTTATTTGATGGAAGAACCAAGAGTTATTCATCAAGCAAATCCCACATAAAAAACCTTTTTTTTTTTTTATTATTATTATTATTTTTTTACACGGGCAGAAAAATACAAGTTAATAACCCCTTTACTAACATAAGTTGTTTATCATAAGTGTATAAATGTCATTTTTACGAGCTACATATTTACAATGTTAATTTATTTGTAACTAGGCTCCTTTTGTATACTCCCAAAAATAAAAAAAATAAAAATAAAAAATAAATAAATAATTGTAACTCAAAAGTAGCAAATACAGGTAGGAATGCAAGATATAATATAAGCCTACTTTAATTCCTCTTAATTTTTTCTAGTGAAGACTCAAAAGGCCTCAAATTGACAAATTCTAACCAAACTTGACTTTCATCGACTTTTGACAAATAAATCTTTCAATTCTCTAACATGCTAGATATTAAGTAATTAACTAAGCTAACTATCCTCTCCCAAGGATATCTCTTTCAAGATTCTCTTCAATGTTTAAAATAGGTCAACTTAACAACCCCAAACATGCGCAATAAAAGAGTTGTATGTTTGGGGTTGTTTATTTAAAAGACCAAAAATTGATTTTTTAATTTTTTTTAATTTTAAAGTTTCAATTTTAGTAAAATAGTTGAAGAACAAATCGTGCTACAGTATGTGACATCGTCAAAAATCCTATTCGAATAACCGTAGAAGAATAAAATTTAAAAAAAATAAATTGAGGGATTTGGGTGAAATAATGATAGGCTCCATTTTATCCCAAATAAATAAAATTTTAGAAGAGCCGCACAACTACATAATTAAAATAAACAATTGAATACTTCCTCCATTTGATCTCCAACTAACTCCGTATATAATGGTGGGCAAGCAAGAAATTGCTAATGGCAAAGCTGTCTTTCTAGTCAAGGCTTCCGGTGAAAGTGATAAGAAGACCATCACCGGAAAGTATGGCTCCAATGAAGTCATTGTACTTTGTGTTTGATCGCGCTTGGCCTAACAATTAATCCTGGTGCAGTCTTAATTACTAGCTAACTTGTAACTAAGCGAGTACAATAACTAACTAAAACTTCCTTGCACTAGTGTGTACGTTTCCTATGCGTTCATGTACTATTTCAATACATTAGTAATCTAAATCATATGTTCTACCTACTTAATTGGAGGCTGGACACCTATAAAATTTAACTATGTAGTACAAGTAGTATTTGTTTTATTACCTTAGCAAAGCACAACAGATACATATACTGGAAAATAATGAAGATAACATATACTTATGAATGAGAGTTCAGACCATATAACCAATTTACCAAGGTTATTGACACGGGAACTTTCTGTTGTTATGACCTTATAACAAACGATATGAAATGTGAATCTCATGGAAGGAGGGTAATAGAATTAAGATTCTGTTTTCAGGTTTTGCTATTCTCCTGATCGAATTCCTAAATGTGCTGGCCAGGGGCAAAACAATCAATATTGCATTCTCTGCATCAGAATTATCCATGAATTACTAGTACAGGATTGCACCATTTGAAGCCACTTAAAAAATCTGAGATCTCTGTTCTTGAGTCCTGCAAACTGAGTGCATATGACGTTATAAAGTCCAGTTGATTGATGACCTACATATACTATTGATTCATCTGATAAATGTATTGTGATACTCATTTGGTTAATACTGGCGAGTTTTCTTAATTTAATCTAACAATTGTATAATGGATATCTTCCTGTATATCTCAAGTAAACTACATTTCTAACTTAAAAATCAAGAGGATTATCCTCAAATTTAAAACCAAGGCACAGCAATTTCAACAGCAGAATTTAAGAATTGAGCGAGAATCTCATACAATGATACAAATCTTGATCATGAAAGCGGAAATTAAACGTTCAGACACAGTAAATTGCAACAACAATCTACTACTGTACTTATTAGAGTTATTTCAATAAACACAATTACAACATACTACGTGAGACCGAAAAAAATACTACTATATCTAGGAATGTAGTTTGGATCCTTGAGGACAAAACAGCCTTGCTGCAGGAAGAGATTCTGGTTTTCGGAGTCTGGGTAATCACAAGATGATGAGACCAATTTTCTCAAGGATGGTCTGTTTGCAACTATCCATGGTATTATGTTAATACCCACTTTTTCACAGCAACTTAAGCTCAAGTATCTCAGTCGTTTACACGATTTCACCACTTCCTTTATCACTTCCGGGGCATATCCTCCCCAACTATATAAGAAGTATATCATTTATCTTTGAATATTTCACAATCAACTTCTCTAGCACTGACGACTCCAACTCTAACTCCAACTCCATGTCTTCTCCAACGAAACGATGGGATCCAGTTAAATCCAGTTCCACAAGGCTCCTGTGGCACTCTCGAATATCAGGAACATTCCGTTGATCATCGGGTAGGAAATAACAATCATGTAGCTTGAGCTTCTCCACTTCGGGACATAATTTAAGAAGCCTTTTCAGAGCTGTAGAGCTAAAGTCATGATGTGATGATAGGTTTAAGTACTTTATTGCACGGTTCTTCTTCATTAGGCCATCATAATTGTATTCTTCTCTTCCAAGGCTTGAACCAGTCATCACAAAATGGCATAGACAAGGGCATCTTTGTGTGATCATAACAAAAGCTGAATCAGATAGATTGGAACAATTACGGATTGATATTGATGTCAGGTTTTGGAGACACGAGGACAAGTACTCTATAAGCTCATTTGTGAGGAATTCTACTCTCCTCAACTTTAAAGATTTCAGAGATTGAGAAGAGTGTTGTAGGAGCATTGAGATACCAGTAATTGTGTAACTTTTACAAATTCTTAGATCCAAGTCAGTAAGATGAATCCGTGCCTCTACTACAGAAAAGAGAAACTCATCCGGTATGTCTACATGTTGGAGCTTTAGAGATCTAAAGTTGGTTAGGAAATTTGTAGAGCCTTTGACTCCAAATGAATCAATCTTAAGATATTTATTTATGTATAATGAGTTCAAATGATGGCTGTTGTTAACAAGAAATGAAATTCCTTCTTGTGTCACAATTACAATCATGAATTTCAATTTGCTCTAGTAATGGACAGTTTTTTGACAGAGAAATAAGGGACTTATCTGAAATCCGTGATTTATTCGAAAGGTCTATCTTGCGTAAACTCTTGAGCTTGGACGACATATATTCTATCCCTTCATCAGTCACAGAAATATAATACGGTGCTTCATCCTTGATATGAAGTTCCTCGAGCTCTGGGAACGAATCTGCTACTCTGACAAAATCAGCATCTCCCTCGCCACCAGTAAACTTGAGTACTTTCAGATTCTTCATGTTTGAACCAAGCTCCTCTAACCAAACTTCTAATTGACTTCGACAATATGAATAAGCAACCAACTCTTCCAAGTCCAACCCGGACCGTGCAATGGCAACAACAGCTTCATTCATGTCTCCTTTGAAGTTACAGACCTGTATCTTCTTAAGGTTGGAGAATCTTTGCAGCAAACCATGAAGCACATATTTATTTCAAAAACTCTTATATAATTTAAAATCACTCAACAATACATCGGTTGGTGGGAGTTTCCCTACATTGAGCGCATCTACTATCTTCTTCACCTCTCCAATCCTAAAGTCCCCTTCTATAGCAAAATGAAATTGTATAAATAAAAAAGATTAATATCAATACTGGAGAAACTAAATTCAGCAGTGATTATGTAGCTTCCTTTTCCACCATAATAAGGACACTAATTTAATATCACAATTTTATAGTAAGGTCTATTTTTAAAAAGGCAGTCGGAGTTTATAAGAAATCATATGTCATTCGACTCCTACTTGCTTTCTCTTTAAAGAAAGATAGATCAATAAACGAGAATGGACTTCATGATCCACTTTTGAGGCTATATTATTTAATTCATTAATGACAATTAAAGCTGACCTATTTTTTACTCTAGATTTTACCAAAATACTTCTAAAAATGAATCATATTATCTTACTCCTTGAGATATGTCACATCTTCCATCTCTAAGCTAGAACTGAAGTATTTCAATATTTTAATTGCTGATTTGACTGTACTCCGTAAGATAAGTCACAGCTTTCACCTATTAGCTAGTAATGAAGTAGTTTTCAACATTTAAATCGCTGACTTGACTGTCCAATTAAATGAACCTAACAAATTCGTGTAAATTGATTGAATAACTAAAGCTAGCATTAACCCTAATTGCTCATAAAACTCTACTAAAAGCATCAATTGTAAATTAACTAAACATATCACAATCATCAGCACAACATAATGGCATCATCATCTAAATTTGATTGATTATCAAACAAAAATCATGATTGCCTAGACCTATAGTTGGTAAACATACTTAATCAACTTGATAAACAAATACTTTCTGACTTTCTCAATCCCGAATTAATTGTCACAATTTCTTTCCTTATAATGAACAGACAGGGTGATTTGATAACTAGAACCTGGCAGAGGGAGTACATAAAACTAAAGCATAAACAAAATAGATACCTGGATGTTATCAGACAACATGTGTTTCCCATGGGCAAATGGATTGAGAAACAACAGAAGCGATCTGCAAAATAAACGTAGAAAATTTATATTCTGCAAAAGCAATCTGTTAAATCAAATTGAAAGAAATTGGAATACCATGTGGCTGCTAAGCAAGACATGTATGTAACCAATGCCTAAGTACCCAGCAATCTGTTTAACAAAATAGAAAGAAATTGGAATAGCATGTGGCTGCTAACCAAGACATGTAACCAATGCCTAAGAACCCAGCAATCTGTTTAACCAAAATAGAAAAAAAATTGGAATACCATGTGGCTGCTAACCAAGACAGTTAACCAATGCCTAAGCACCATTAAATGACCAGTGAAGAAACAATCAACTAAGGGCTTGTTCAGCACGGTTACTTTATCAGTTTTTTGTTTTTTTTAACCCAAAATAAAACAAAAACCTAATCACTTATAACAACTTTCACCTCATGTTAGGAAAACAAAAACAGAAAAATCCAAACCACTAACACTATGTTTGGGTAGAGAGAAATGAAGGGAAAGGAAGAGAAGGGAAAAGGAAGGATGCATCATCCTTTGTTTGTATACATAATAAAAGGAGGGAACGAAAGATAATTGGAAGGATCCATTTTCCTTCTTCTTTTTATAAACAAATCCCTCTTTTGTCGGAGAGATTTGGAAGGAAAATGTAAGGTCACCTTCCCTCTTTTTCCTTCACCTCCATTTCCCTTTCCCTTCACTATTGTTATCCAAACATAATGCATAAGTTGTTTTGTGGTTTTTGTGGTTTTACAAAACACGCCCACGTCAAAGGTCAAGTTCTCTGTATCTTTGAACTAACTTCCCTTAACCTTCAGAATAAAGAGTAATTTCAATGTTTAGCACTTTGGCTAGATTTATTATCTTTTTTCCAAATTCTCCATACCTAACCTTTCTTTGCACACTGTTTTTCAATTTTTTGGCAAATTATGGGAATCTCCGAGCAGATGTAGATTTAGCAGCCCACAAATTCAGCCTAACATTGATAGACAATAAAAAAAAAAAAAAACAATTTTCAAATCATTTGCGTTTATCATGCTATTTTGTTAAACCTTATTCTAAAACCAGATTCCATATACTACCTCCGATTACTTTTATATGCAATTTTGGAATATTATTTAAGAGATATAAAATATTTCAAAGTTACGTTTAAAAGTAATCCGTATATTTTGATTTTAATAATAAAATTATGTCTATGATGTTTAAAGTAGAAAAAAATTGTGGTTGATATCATCATTATTAATTAAATAAATTTTTTTATGTTTAGGATTGTAATTAAAGCATATATGCCATTGTTTTAGCTTTCTTGGTTCTATAGCTGTAAATATCGATGAATATGATATTCTCCATTTTAATTATAATGTGACGAAGAAGCAAACTTTAAAACAACACAAAATCAGTTTTGAACTTTCTTAAAACATAAAATCAAAAGTAATACCGAACGAACCCTTAGAAAAGCAATCTGTTTGACCAAATAAAAGGAAAAATCTAATCGAATCGAAGAGATGAACATTGAACCAATAAGAACTAGAGAGAGAAATGAGAGAGAAAAATACCTGAAAATTGGAGAATGAGGTATTGAATCGGAAAATTAGATGGATGTTTTCGGGAAAGAGATGGTCACCCATATTCGATCGATTCTTCTGGAAAAACACGGAGCATGCTTCAAAGGAGGAGAGAGAGAGAGTGGGAGTGTAACTGTGTGAGGTCTTTTTGGTTCAATATTACTCCACAGTTAAAGGAAAGGAATAGAAAGAAAAGGGAGAGAAAAGAAAGGAAGAGAAGGGAAAGTAATTTTATTAGTTCCGGGGGGATTTAGATAAATGGACAAATATTCTCTCAGATGTACTTCATATTTTTTTTCTCTGGACTCTGACTCAATCGTATATTCTCTCCTCCCAACAAATCACCACCAATTTAGGGCAAAGTCATCAGACACATCGTCAGAATTAAAGTCGTTTTTTTTTTCTTTGTGGAGGCCAAACGCCTAAATTTTTCAAAACTCTAGGGGAGAAACGCCAAGAATTTTCAAAAGTGCCTAGGAGATTCGAAAATTCTAGGCGTTTCCACCCGTAGAATTTTTTAATTTTTTGCTTTTTTGTTTTTATTATAACTTTTGATCCAGAACTCAAAATTCAGACAAATAAGATATCGTTGGAAAGCTCTAGAAGTTTTTTTCTAACCCAATTAGAATCATATCAATATCATTTTTAGATCTTAAGATATGGCTAAAATACTAACTTTGGTCCAAAACCAACACCCTTGCACTATTTTGATCATATATTAAGATCTAAAAATGATATTAACTTGATTTGAATTGGGTTGGAAAGTAGACTTCTAGAGCTTTCCAACGATATATTATTTGTCTTAATCCGAGTTTCGGATCAAAAGTTATGATAAAAACAAAAAACGAAAAAAAACTAGAAAATTCTATGGGATAAAACGCCTAGAATTTTCGAATCTCCTATGGACTTTTGAAAATATGGGCGTTTCTCCCCTAAAGTTTTGAAAAAATTAATGACCTTGCTTTCGGTCAGTGGTGGTTTGTCGGGAGAAGAGAATGTTAGATTAAGTTAGAACATGGAATACATGCGAGGGTATGTTTGTCCATTCATATTTAAATATGGGCGTTACCTGGTAAAATAAGGGTGTCGTTTAGCCTGTCACTTTCGGTGTTTTACAGAGTATTTTTCTTTTTCCTCTCAAATTCCTCCCGTGAGAGTAAAGAAAAGTGTATAAAGACTCTTTTTTTTCACTTCTTTTTCTTTCTTATCAATTTTCATATCATTTATCATACCAAATATGGGAAAATTTCACTTTTTTTTTTTCTTTTCACGCCAAATCTCATCAATCAAACAAAGCCTAAAAGCTACTCTAAAGAGAAAGATTATGAAAGAGAGTGGGAGGAGAGAGATAGGAATATGTGGTCGTTGACCTGGCAAAAAAAAAAAAAAAAAAAAAGTGGCATACGAAGTGGCTAAGTCATCAAATGCACAAGAGCTCATTTACCTTACATTTATGTGAAATTTAAGTTGCATTTCTTATGAACAATTTCATTGACACTCATATGACTATTTATAAGCAATTTTTAACTTATTCCCATATTATTGTAGTTTGCAAGGAAAAAAATAACCAGTAGTTTTATCATACAAATGTTATAACTTAAGTGGATGTTGTTTTCTTTAAAAAATTCAAGCGCAGCTTGTTTGAGCATATAGTTACATCAATTTATCACTCCAATGGTAAGCTACATGCTCATAATGTTATTAATTAATCTACGATTAGACCCTTTTTATATACCATTAAAGATGCTCTCACGTAGCATAAGCATAACACTAAAAGATATAAGCGTGATATAGAATATAAGCTACTTTTATTCCTCTTGACTTTCGCTAGTGAAGACAGAGGCCTGAAGGCCACAAATTCTAACCAAACTAGACTTTCATTGGCTTTTGACTATATAATTTAGTTTTCTTTGTTTCTCTAACATACAAGAAATCAACTAACCTAACTATAGGATGTCTCTTGTTTAGGATTCTCAATTATTGAAGAAAATTATTTTGTCAAAAGCCAATGAAAGTCAAGTTTGGTTAGAATTTATGACCTTGAATTGAGGCCTCCTTGAAGTCTTCACTAGCGAAAGTTAAGAAGAATTTAAAGTAGGCTTGTATCTCGCCTATAGTTGCTACAGAGTAGTTTTGTGTTATGCTTATGCTATGTTAGATTGTGCTCTCACCTATTAATTTAAGGCACAATTGGGTTCAACAATACGAAATTTTAGCAAAGTCAACGTAGTGGTATGAACTTTGACTAATAGTCGTAATTTCTTTATTGGATGTAGGAAATATCAAAAATAAAATCTGGCATTGGAGATTCTTCCAGAGTTAAAGAATCTTTAATATATATATTTATATATTTATTGTTACTTGTTTATTTAACTAAAGGAATATAATTAATTTGTTAATAATTTGCATGAACCTGTAATAAAATTATTCAATAATTGGTTACTAATATGCTTGTTAGTTTAATTGTTTGCAATCTCTCTATCAATAACATAACATATAACATAATACTAAAACAGACATCGGGAATGACACATGTCACTTCCTGGTGTTGTTTTTTCCCTCCAAAACACCCCCTCCCCTTTTAGCAAAAAAAACTTTTTTTTTTTTGGAAAATTTGTATAATACAACTATTATAATATTCCAAATCTTATATATTATTTTTACATAAAATGTATTTCTTTTATTTCGTGTTCTTAATTCTTCCATACACATTTACCTAAAAAATTATTCTAACTCTTTTTTAATTATAGAAAAAGTGAGTCACTGGTTCAGGTATAAGATACTATCATTACCGCCTGGACATCTTTTAGCCGAAGTATTATTGAAATTTTGCCCTAAAAGTAATAATAAAATTGGTTCATATAATTAATATTAAAGAAATTACTTTGAATCATCACTTTATTTTTTTTTTTCAAATACCTCTAATATTTTGTTTCTTAGACTAATTGAGTATTACATGACTATATAATAAATGTTGTGTTCGGCAACTAAATTATATGTCTAATTCTAGGAAAATGTGAAATATCAGTCAATTAATTTATTACGTAATTAAATAAATTTATATCTTAATAAATACAAAAAAAAATTACTGTCTTTTGCTGAAACATGTGATTGAGATGATAAAGTTATTATATTCGACATTATAAATAAGATGCATAGTAAAAGACACATCAGACATAATATAGTGACAAGTGACATCTTCTTGTGTATCCTTTTTTCGATAAATAACTATCATCTACAAATAAACTTGTAAGGCGATAACAAATAATGATTAAACTACAATTATTAGATTGCTTCAAACACATTTAATTTCTATATAATAACAAAGATCGACGATATCATGTAGAGCATCAATTCATAAACAGAAAATGTATTATTAATAATATAGGTTAGTGTTGTCTAATTGTTGATTATAATTGCCTTAATGATCTGAGTAGTATTTATTTCCATTGAAATTATTTTATTGGATATAACGGTTATATATTATTTGTAATTTATATATTTACATTTATGTTGTGTTAATAGTTTTACTGTAGATTTTATTCTCTTGTTTGATTGATATTTTTATGTTTATTAAAAGGCATTTTTAAATAAGTCTTTAGTCATATATTCACTAGATTGTATAGTTTTATTGGTAATAATATGCATCATTTATGTAATATAATGTATACTACTTTTAAATATTTTTAACACAACTAATCAACAATAAATTTTTATTTTCAAATGTAGTTTTAATAATTTTTGCTTTATTTTTTTTATTTTTCTATATGCATTGTATTTTTTTAATTCCTCATGAGTTGCCTCATTTTTATATTATATCAAAATTAATTATGGAAAAATGATTATTAGAACCGTGCATCGCACGGGTACTAATCTAGTTATTTTATACTAGATTAGTGCTCGTGCAATGCACGGTAGAAATAATCTTTTTTCCCATAATTAATTTGTGATAACATAAAATGAGGCAATTCATGTGGAATAACCAAATGTAATGCACATAAGAAAGATGATATAATAAGCCAAATATTATTAAAACTACAATTGAAAAGAAAAAAAATTATTTTTGATTAGTTGTGTTGAAAATATTAAAAATAGTATACATTATATTACATTAATAATGCATGTTATTCCCTATAAAACTATATAATTTAGATGTCATATGGTCTTTTTATTAATGAATTAATTTAGTTAAGAAAAAAAACACTCCATACTATACAATGTACTTCCAAAAAATAAGCTAAGTAGGATAATTAAAAAAAATAAAAAATAAATAAAAAAAATAAAAAAAACCTTAAAGCTGACATCATATATTATATTAGCGGAATTTTTTTTAATGATAGCTTACATATGTCCAAAATGATCGATGTAAACATGATTTGTTTTAGTAATAATTAATTGATTTTGTGAAGAAAAAAAAAAGTTATAAGTTGGTAAAATTATTACAGAAATATTTAACAGAGAACTAACTCAATTATTATTATTTCATAAGTTTTCAAATCAATTAACTCCATGAATAGAAATGTTTTTTTTTTCATTGAACTCCAATATTGTACAACTATATATATAATGGTAAATTAAATGTTAATTTTACATTTTTGGCTCCGTTATTTTATACTCTCCACCATATTTCAACCTTCTAAATTATAGCTTATTCTCCCTTAATTAAAAGGTATCAAAATCTTGTGTAACTATTTAAAGTAAACAAAACACGAAATAAAAATGAATACAATTATTATAAAGATAATACTCCCTCCATTCTGAAAGTTCGACTCACTTTGCATTTGCGATCTCTAATGAACATCTTTGAACATAAATATCTTCGGCTAGTTATAAGTGAAAATTATAAAAAGTTGATATTTGAAAATTTTATAATAAGGGGAATCTAATAAGATCCCTCATACTAATTTATTTCTATTATATAAATCATAATATGTGGTCAAAATTATTTTATTTTGACCAGATGAATAGTAAGTGAGTCGAACTTTCAGGAACGAAGGTAATATATAAGATTTGGAATAATGAGTATATTATAATATTTGTATTATTCAAATATTCCAAAAATAAAAAAAATTTTGCTAAAAAGGGAGGGGGAGTTTTGGAGAGAAAAAACAACATCATGAAATGACTCGTGTCATTCCTGGTCTCTGTTTTAGTATTATGTTATTGATTCTATTCACTTACTTGTAATTTTCGCAACCTCCAATACATATGTGTGACCAAATATATCTATAAATTATAAATAATTATAAGATATAAAAATTTGATATTTAATTTAGATGTAACACATTATGATGATTCTAACATTTGTCTGGTAAGGAAGTAGCACTAGACCGCCAAAACTTTATAAATTTGACCCATGAATATTAAGTGAGTAAAATATGAAGTAGATTTAACCAAAAAAAAAAACGAAGTAGGAAAGAACGGGTAGTATAACAGATTAAATTAGTTTTTGGCCCGGACAATGCGATGCCCCGAGTTATTATTTTAGTATATTGAAAATGAGCTTTTATAAGAAGAATTATGTGATGAAATATATATATAGATTAAATTAGTTACATTTATTTAAGTATTCGTATTATTGATAATATATTTTTAAATCATCATTGAACATCAAAATATACTATCCGATATCTATCCCTAGATTAAATACAATTTATAAACCTAAGTAATCCTAACACGAGTATTGGGCAAGCATAGGGGTCGAACACAGGGAACAACTAAAACACCACCAAGTACAACAATCAAGCTAGTTCGAGATAGAAGTTAAGTAAACTAAAGTCACTAAAGCAAGAAATGAAACAAGCTAGAATCAAGATATAAAGCACTAAGGGAAATGGTTTAGGTGTAGTATTCACTCAAGCACGATCAAGCATGAAATTGAATTAAAGTGTGAACTAAGCAACTCATATTCAATGATTCAAAGTACAATCTAGCCACCTATCAGGACTCATTGATTTCTCAACTCAAAAAAAATATACTATCCGATATCCTAAAATTATTAGTTTACTTCGTTCTTCAATTGTTATAAAAGAAAAAGAAAAAAACACATTAGCTTAAAAAGTTCAACACATATTTTGGGTTACATATATAAAATAGCTATAAGATTTTATGTATGAGCAAATAAAAGAAATGAGATGAATTTTTGTTATTATAGATTGTTGTTAAATATACATGTATAAAATTAAACATTAAATTTTCAAGTTTATGAATATGATTAACTCTTTTTAACAAAATATTGTAAATATAAGATCTACCATTTGAGTAGTGGATGAATTTAGATTATAGTGAACATGAGGTCATGGGTTGAAACATTCATATTAACAATTGTTAATTTTTATTTAATGAATAATAGTAATTTTTAATAGTATGCTGACATGACGCCACATCATTTGCCTAGCAATATATGGTGACTCGTGGCGGGATTATGTCTTCCCATTGAGTTTTAATATATATAGATTAGATAGATGAGGAGCATGGTGAATGGTGAGTGAAGGAAAGTTGGGGTATATATAGCCGAATTGTATAGGGTGGTTGGGTCACTTGGGTGTACAAATGGGCTGAAAATAACAGCTAACAATAAATAAAGTCCAAAATTTCATTATCAAGTTAGATTTAACAAGACTTAAGTTCATTACTTAATACTGTATATATTACCCGACTTGATTTCATTTTGGTTATGCGTGTTACGTTTTGTCGAAGTACTTCTTTAGTAAAAATAAAATTTAATTGTTATTGTAGTAAATCTTATAGTAATTGAATATTAATAACGTACTTATTTTGACAAATCAAACAAGACCCTAAAAAGACTTCATAAAATTCTATCTAATTGGGAATTTGTGAAGATTGCATATAAGAAAAACAAATAGGAAAGAATATTTTTTGTCAAAAAGAAATGAATGGTTATCTTTTACTTTTAAGCATCATGAAATCAATATAGGACCATTTCAATGAATGGCATGGACCTATCAAAGAACACCAGCAAAAAGGAATTGAACATCTTCAAAATACTCAAAGCAAAATAAGAAAAATCCAACACGTATTTTCTCTCATCTTTTCGAGACTAGAAAATTGGTATGAATCATTAAACTTATTAATGTGTAAAAAAAATCGAATATTTCTCGATCTCCTCCTACTATATAATGGTGGGCAAGTATGGCATTGTAATTTGCAAGTCACGCAGATTACATATATACAAGAGGGTGATACTACTTTAAGGTAATTAAGTGCCTAATCCTTAATTTAATTTGTTTTAGCTTCTTCAATTCATCCATCTTAATTAATATTTGTCACTAACATATACTACATGTAACGCCTAAATACTTTTTCATCATTTGAATTAATACTTGGTAATTTATTGTGCTTTGTAGGAGAATACAACTAAGTAATACTGAAAAGATGGCCTCCATTCAAGAATGTGCTGCAGTGAAGGTGATGTTCAGTAACAATGTCCAAGCTACGTTGAGTGTTAAGCTCATCAACGGAGACGGAGAAGATCCTGCAGACGTTTACGGAAATATAGATGGTCGATTTGGCATCAGCACTCAGTTTTCGCTTTTTGATAAGAAGCAAAGTCAGCATATTCCAGTAAGGCCTGGTGAATTCATTCCCTTGAGTCGGTCCGATGTCAATGTGCCTGAAGCCGCCACGGAAATGGAGATTAGTGCTTACTTGATGGACTATGATGCTGTTTCTTCCGACGATGAAATTGCTAACGGCAAAGCTCTCTTTCTAGTCAAGGCTGCCGGTGAAAGTGACAAGAAGACCATTACCGGAAGGTATGGCTCTATTGAAGTCAATGTACTTTGGGGTTGATCGCGCTTGTCCTAATAATTAATCCTGGTGCAGTCTTATTACTAGATAGCTAGCTAGCTACTATAACTAAATAAAACTTTTCTGCACTAGTGTTCATGTTTCCTATGTGTTCATGTACTATTTCAATACAATGATAATCTAATTAAAACGTTTTACCTACATGGATCTATATTGACATAGGACTTTTCTTGCCAAATTACGATTGTCATGACCTTATATCAAACGGGCTGTAAGAGTGCGTACTAATGACCTGAATAATACTCGAACTCAGAAATGAACACATGGATGGAGGATAACGAAATGAAGATTCTGTTTTCGGGTTTTGCTTTTCTCCAGATCGAACTCCTAAGCGTGCTGGCCTGGGGCAAAACAAACAATATTGCATTCTCTGCATCAGACTTAGTACATCTCTCTGAACTACTCAAATACACAACTTACTAGTATTGGATTACACCATTTGAAGCCACTTAAAAAATCTGAAATCTCTGTTCTTGGAGTCCTGCTAACTGAGTGCAAATGACATTAGATAGTCCAGTTGATTGAGGACCTAAATATACAGATATAATATTGATTCATCTGATAAATATATTGTGATGACTCATTTGGTTAAATTCTCGCGAGTTTTCTCAATTTAATCTAACAATTGTATATTTTGAATTATAAACCAAGGCAAGGTAATACACACAGCAGAGTAAAAGAAATGGGAGTAGTCTTCAATTCATACAAATCTTGATCATGAAAGTGAAAATTAAACATTCAAGTTGGACACAATAAATTGCAATAACAATCAAATACAATTTCAAAGTATTACATATAACACAAAAGCGTATCTCCTTTAAAGATGAAGCTTGGATCCTTGAGGAGAAGACAGCCTTGTTGCAGGTAGAGTTTCTGGGTAGCTACGAGATGATGACACCAGTTTTCTCAAGGATGGTCTGTTTGTCACTATCCATGGTATTACACTGATATCCACTTTTTCACAGCAACTTATGCTCGAGTATATCAGTCGTGTACACGATTTCACCACTTCCTTTACCCCTTCTTCTGTCACTTCACTGCAACGCGCCAGATCCAGGTGAATCAATTTGGGGCATATCTTCCCCAACTTGGTAAGAGATATATCATCTATCATTCAAATTTTCACAATCAATTTCTCTAACACTGACGACTCTAACTCCGTGTCTTTTACAGTGATATGATGGGATCCGGTTAGATTCAGTTCCCCAAGGCTCCTGTTGCACTCTAGAATATCAGGAACATTCAGTTGATCATCGGGTAAGAAAACACAACTGTGTAGCTTGAGCTTCTCCAATTCGGGACATATGCTAAGAAGCCTTTTCAGAGCTGTAGGCCTAAATTCATCATGAGATGATATGTCCAAGTACTTTATTGCACGGTTCTCCTCCATTAGGCCATCATAATTGTATTCTTCTTTTCCGAGGCATGAACCAGTCATCACAAAATGGCACAAACGAGGGCATCTTTGTGTGATCATAAGAAAAGTTAAATCAGATAACTTGGAACAATTAAAGAGAGTGATTGATGTCAGGTATTGGAGAAAAGACGACAAGTAATCTATACAACTGATCTTTTCGAGTTTTGACTTACTTTCCTTTACATAATAATGTGATTTGATCATTTCAAGTTTTAACTGGTTTTCCTTACAAAACAACTTGGTCTGATCTTTGAAGTTTTGACTTAGTTTTCTTTACATAACAATGTGATATGATCATTTCAAGTTTTGACTGGTTTCCTCTACATAACAATGCAATCTGATCTTTACAACGTTTGACTGATTTTCTTTCCAAAACAAGGTAATCAAGCCATTAAATTTATATTTTTTGATATACTATGCATTTACAAAAATTTACAGCAAAAAAAAAAAAAGGATACTTTGTCCTTCTGAAGTTCAGTTCACTTAATTATTGCTCGGAAACACATGACGTGATTGGCTAAGCATTCGTATATAAATTCAATCAGCTATAAGATAGGATTTGCTTATTTCCTCAAAAAAAAAAGATAGGATTTGCTTAATAACATGTTAACAGTGTCATTATTGAGACCTACTATATGCATATCCCAATATAGAAAAAATTAGCTTAACACTATGCTTTAAAAGTTTCAATAATAATAAGTGACCTATAATTGTTCATTTGTTCACGTTTGGGCATTTAATATACAATTATACACGTAGTAGAAAACATCTGTTTTCTAATATACTCCCAAGGTCTCCATTCGTTTGCTCTTTTCGACTTTTCAGTTTTCGAGTCACGTTTAAAAGCATGAGTAGATACGTTTTAAATCATGAATATCTCCAATGTTATACACAAAAATATCATTAAAAAAACCAATATTCTTACATTACACATTTAAACAAATTTAACAAGATCTCCCATATCTATATTATTTCTTATCGATTAGTGTCAATCTGTTTATGTTCCATGAGTTCTATGCCTGCAAGATCCTACGACATACAATAATGTGTGATTTCAATTGCTGCTTTTCCTCTGTTTTTAGCTCTTAGCCTAAGTACTTAAATGGTACTTGCTACCGTGTTAGATGCTTCGTATTAGATATTGTTAGAACTTTACATTGGCTTGACTATATATATAGTTATTGTCTTAGCATTTAGAGTATGTTACTCACTGATCCTCCTCGGCGATGAGTTCTTCTTCTCCTGAGTGCCGAGACTGTTTCTGTTTCTGACTTCGGTGCACTATTACAGATTGGAAGTTCCCTGTCTAGTTACTTTGAGTAAATTACATTTCTAACTTAAAAATCAACAGGTTTATCCTCAACTTCAAACCAAGGCGAGGTAACACAGCAGAATAAAAGAAATGGAGTATTATCAATTATTTATCATACAGATCATGATTATGAAAGCGGAAATTAAACATTCAGACACAGTAAATTGCAATAACAATCTACTAGTGTACTTATCATTATATACATAATTCCAAACTAAAAGTCTATAACATGTTACACATAAACTCATCTTCATTATTTAAGGGGTAGTTTGGATCCTTGAGAACAAGACAGCCTTGCTGCAGGAAGAGTTTCTGATTTTTGTCGTCTGGGTAGTTGCGAGATGATGACACCAGTTCTCTCAAGGATGGTCCGTTTGCAACTATCCATGGTATTATGTTAATATCCACTTTTTCACAGCGACTTAAGCTCAAGTATCTCAGTCGCTTACACGATTTTACCACTTCCATTACCCCATCTTCTGTCACTTTACTGCAATACGACAGATCCAGGTGAATCAATCTGGGGCATATCCTCCCCAACTTTGTAAGAAATATATCATTTATAAGTGAAAATTTCACAATCAATTTCTCTAACACTGACGACTCCAACTCCAACTCCCTGTCTTTTACAGTGATATGATGGGATCCGATAAAATTCAGTTCCACAAGGCTCCTGTTGCACTCTAGAATATCAGGAACATTCAATTGATCATTGGGTAGGAGATAACAACCATGTATCTTGAGCTTCTCTACTTCGGGACATATGTTAAGAAGCCTTTTAAGAGCTGTAGGCCTAAATTCATGGTGAGATGATAGGTCCAAGTACTTTATTGCACGGTTCTTCTTAATTAAGCCATCATAATTGTATTCATCTCTTACGAAGCTTGAACCAGTCATCACAAAATAGCATAGACGAGGGCATCTTTGTGTGATCATAACAAAAGCTGAATCAGATAGCTTGGAACAGTTAAAGAGTGTGATTGATGTCAGGTTTTGGAGAAAAGACGACAAGTACTCTACATGCTCATTTGTGAGGAATTCTACTCTCCCCAACTCTAAAGATTTAAGAGATTGAGAAGAGTGTTGTAGGAGCCTTGAGATCCCAGTAAAAGTGTAGCTTTTGCAATCTGTTAGAGCCAAGTCAGTAAGATGAATCCGTGCTTCTATTATAGAAAAGAGAAACTCATCCAGTATGTCTACATATTGGAGCTTTAGAGATCGTAAGTTGGTTAGGATATTAGTAGAGCCTTCGACTCCAAATGAATCAATCTTAAGATGTTTACATATGTATGATGAGTTCAAATGATGGCTGTTGTTAACAAGGAATGAAATTCCTTCTTGTGTCACAGAGTTACAATCATGAATTTCAATTTGCTCTAGTAATGGACAGTTTTTTGACAGAGAAATAAGGGACTTATCTGAAATCCGTGATTTATTTGAAAGGTCTATCTTGCGTAATCTCTTGAGCTTGGATGATATATAATCCATCCCTTTATCAGTCACATAAATGATATACGGTGCTTCATCCTTGATAAATAGTTCCTCGAGCTGTGGGAATGCGTCTGCTACTCTGACAAAATCAGCATCCCCTTCTCCACCAGTAAACTTGAGTACTTTCAGATTCTTCATGTTTGAACCCAGCTCCTCTAACCAAACTTTTGGGTGACTTCGACAATATGACAAAGCAACCAACTCTTCCAAGTCCAACCCAGACCGTGCAATCGCTAGAACAGCTTCATCCATGTCTCCTTCGAAGTTACAGACCTGTATCTTCTTAAGGTTCGAGAATCTTTTCAGTAGCCAACAGAGGACTGTGATTGGTGTATAACCTGAGAAATTTATGCTAACTCGTAAGGAATTTGAGATTGACAGAAATCTCTTGCAGACTAAAGTGATTGATTCTTGGTCACTTTCATGTTTAAGACGATTAAAGATCATCTCCCAGCATTCGTCAAGCAATTCTTTGCCTGCTTCTTCTTCCACTTCCATCTGCTCTAATGAGTACAAATCAGATTATTAGCAGCATGAGAAGATGCATTGCTTTGACTTGCTTTCCTTTACATATATAACAATATGATCTATTCAAATTTTGACTGGTCTTCTTTACAAAACAAGGTTATCAATGCAAGCCATTGCATTTTTTTTCTTTGTTATATCTATATAATATGCTTTGACATAGTTTCAATACGTGATTGATCACCTAAATCTTGATATATATATATATTCCCTTAACAATTTACTCAGTCCTTTTGAAGTTTACTTTCCTTAATATATAGATTTGATCAGCTATGAGATAGGATTTGTTCAAAGATGACTAAAGATATCATTATTGAGGCTCACTTATTATATCTCAATATAGGAAAAAACAAATGGAAATTCTCAATGGTAAACTCCTATTTTCTGAAAAGTCGGAAATGGTGACATCCCTTCTTATCCCACTCATGACATAGAGCTAGGTGCAATTTGATTTATTTATTTATTTCCTCATTTTAAAATGAGCAAAGAAATATTAAATAAGCAAAAAATACCCATGGGTAACCTTTTTTTTAAAATATATGGTAATGTGTGATTTTAGCTGCGGCTTTTCCTCTGTTTTTAGCCCTTGGCCTAATTTGTTAGAACTTAAATGCTACTTGCTACCATATTAGATATTTATTATTGAAAAAACAATATTGTTGAGGTAGTTTATACTGTACTGGAAGCCTTAACTTTACGTTGGCTTGACTAATATATATAGTTGTTGTCTTAGCGTTTAGAGTATGTTACTCACTGATCCTCCTCGGCGATGAGTATTTCTGCTCCTGAGTGCTGAGATTGTTTTTATTTCTCTGACTCCGGTGCACTATTACCAATTGGAAGTTCCCATCTAGTTGCTTTTGTTAGTAAATTACATTTTTAACTTTAAAACCAACAGGTTTATCCACAACTTTAAACCAAGGCGAGGTAACACAGCAGAATAATAGAAAGAATAAATGGAGTACTATCAATATATCATATAGATCATGATCATGAAAGGGGAAATTAAACATTCAGACACAGTAAATTGCAATAACAATTAACTAGTGTACTTATAATAATAAACACAATTTCAAACTATAAGTCTATAACATATTACACGAAAACTCATCTTCATAATTAAAAGAGTAGTTTGGATCCTTGAAGACAAGACAGCCTTGCTGCAGGAAGAGTTTCTGGTTTTCATCGTCTGGATAATCACGAGATGATGACACCAGTTTTCTCAAGGATGGTCTGTTTGTCACTATCCATGGTATTATATTGAAATTCACTTTTTCACAGCAACTTATGCTCAAGTATCTCAGTCGTTTACACGATTTCACCACTTCCTTTACCCCTTCTTCTGTCACTTTATCGCAATCCTCCAGATCCAGGTGAGTCAACCTGGGCAGATCCTCCCTAACTTGGTAAGCAATTTATCGTTTATCCCGGAAAATGTCGCAATCAACTTCTCCAACACTGACACCTCCAACTCCATGTCATTTCCGGTTAAATCCTTGATAAGATGGGATCCAGTTAAATCCAGTTTCACAAGCCTCCTGTTGCACTCTAGGATATCGAGAACATTCAGTTAGTTATGGCGTAGAAATAAGCAATGACTTAGGTTGAGCTTCTCCACTTCAGGACACATGTTAAGAAGCCTTTTCAGAACTGTAGGGCTGAAGTCGTGATGAGATGATAGGTTCAAGTACTTTATTGCACGGTTCTTCTTCATTAGGCCATCATAATCATATTCTTCATTTCCCAGGCTTGAACCAGTCATCGCAAAATGGCACAGAAGAGGGCATTTTTGAGTGATTATAACAAAAGCTGAATCAGATAGCTTGGAACAGTTAAAGAGCGTGATTGATGTCAAGTTTTGGAGAAAAGACAACAAGTACTCTATGTGCTCATTTATGAGGAATTCTAATTCCCTGAACCCCCCCAACTCTAAAGATTTCAGAGTTTGAGAAGTGTGCAGTAGGAGCCTTGAGATCCCAGTAAACGTGTAACCTTCACAGTCTGTTAGATCCAATTCAGTAAGATAAATTCGTGCTTCTGTTATGGAAATGAGAAACTCATCCGATATGTCTACATTTTGGAGCTTTAGAGATTGTAAGTTTGTTAGGAAATTATTAGTAGAGCCTTTATAAACTCCAAATGAATCAATCTTAAAATATTTACATATGTATAACATGTTCAAATGATGGCTGTTGTTAACAAGGAATGAAATTCCTTCTTCTGTCACAGAATTACAATCATTAATTTCAATTTGCTCTAGTAATGGACAGTTTTTTGACAGGGAAAAAAGGGACTTATCTGAAATATGTGCTTTGTTCGAAAGGTCTATCCTGCGTAATCTCTTGAGCTTGGATGACATATAATCCATCCCTTCATCGGTCACAGAAATAGCATTTAATCCTTCATGCTCGATATACAGTTCTTCGAGCTTAGGAAATGAGTCTGCTACTCTGACAAGATCAGCATCTCCCTGTCCACCAGTAAACTTAAGTATTTTCAGATTCTTCATGTTTGAACCCAGCTCCTCTAACCAAACTGTTGGTTGCTTGAGTACTTTTGGGCTCATGTTTGAACCCAACTCCTCTAACCAAACTAGTCGTTGACTTTGATTATTTGACAAAGCAAACAACTCTTCCAAGTCCAACCCGGACTGTGCAATTGCAACAACAGCTTCATTCAGGTCTCCTCTGAAGTTACAGAACTGTATCTTCTTAAGGTTTGAAAATCGTTGCAGCAGCCTAGGGAGGATTGAGATTGGTGTATAATCTGAGAGCTTTATGCTAACTCGTAAGGAATTGGTGATTGACAGGAATCTCTTGCAGACTAAAGTGATTGATTCTTTGTCACTTTTATGCTGGAGACGACCAAAGATCATCTCCCAGCAATCGTCGAGCAATTCTTTTCTTTCTTCTTCTTTTTCCATTTCTATCTGCCCAAATGGGATCAGATCAGATTATTGCAACATTGGGAATGTATTGCTTTAGGCTTGGTATCCTTTAAATAACATGCAATATGATCATTGACTGGTTTTCTTTCCAAAACAACGTGATCTGATCTTTTCAAGCTAAGTTTTGACTTGGTTGCCTCTACATAACAATGTGATTTTATCATTTCAAGTTTGGACTGGTTTTCTTTACAAAACAACATGATCTGCTCTTTCAAGTTTTGACTTGGTTTCCTTTACATAACAATGTGATCTGAACTTTTCAAGTTTTTACACTGGTTTTATTTACAGACAAGATTATCAAGCCAGTGTTACTTTTTAATATACTATGCATTGACATAGTTTCAAATATGCGGCAGATTGATCACCTAAATTTGGTTACAAAAATTTACTGCAAAACAAAGTTACTCTGTCCTTATGAAGTTCAGTTCACTTAATTATTGCTCAGCAAAAACACTGTGACTTGATTGACTGATAGCATTAGTACTTAAATTCGATCTGCTATGAGATAGGATTCACTTAAAGACATGCATAATGTTAAGCTAATTTATTTATTTGATTTTTCTATATTGGGACATACTAAGTCTCAATAATGACACCATTAATAATGCTCGTCTTTGAACAAATCCCATCTCATAGCTTATCGAATCTATATATATATGAATGCTATTAGCCTATCACGTTGTGCATAGTTGAGCAAAAATCAAGTAAATTAAACTTCAGAAGGACTGAGTAAATTTTTTAAGGGTATTTTTGAATTCAGATTTAGGTGATCAGTCACGTATTCAAAACTATGTCAAAGCATAGTATATATATTAAAAAACAAATGCACTGGCTTGATAACCTTATTTTGTACATTAAACCAGTCAAATTCGAAAAGATCACATTGTTATGTAAAGGAAACCAAAGTCAAAAGCAATACATTTTCTCATGTTGCTAATAATCTGATCCGATTCCATCCATCAGTGCAGATCGAAATGGAAGAAGAAGAAAGCAAAGAGTTGCTCGACGAATGCTGGGAGATGATCTTTGATCGTCTCCATCATAAAAGTGACCAAGAATCAATCACTTAGTCTGCAAGATATTCCTGTCAATCACCAATTCCTTACGATTTAGCATAAAGTTCCCAGATTATACACCAATCTCAACCATCTCTAGGCTGCTGCAACGATTCTCCAACCTCAAGAAGATAAGGTTCTGTAACTTCAGAGGAGACCTGAATGAAGCTGTTGTTTTGATTGCACGGTCAGGGTTGGACTTGGAAGAGTTGATTTCTTTGTCATACGATCAATATAAACGAGCAGTTTGGTATGAGGAGGTGGGTTCAAACATGAAGAATCTGAAAGTACTCAAATATTCAGGTGGACATGGAGATGTTGATCTTGTCAGAATAGCAGACTCGTTTCCTAAGCTTGAAGAATTTTATATCGATCATGAAGGAGTGTATACTATTACGGTGACTGATGAAGGGGTGGATTACATGTCATCCAACCTCAAGGGATTACTTAAGATAGACCTTTCGAACAGAGCATTTATAACAGATAAATCCCTTGTTTCTCTGTCAAAAAACTGTCCATTACTAGAGCATATTAAAATTTATGAGTATAATAAAGTGACAGAAGAAGGAATTTCATTCCTTGTTAACAATAGCCATCATTTGAAATTATTTTACATAAGTAAAGATCTTAAGATTGATACATTTGGAGTCAATGGCTCTTCTAGTTTCCTAACCAACTTACGATCTCTAAGGCTCCAAGATGTTGACATATCGGATGAGTTTCTCTTTTCTATAGCAGAAGCATGAATTTCTCTTACCGACTTGGCTGTAATAGATTGCGAAAGCTACACGTTTACTGGGATCTCAAGGCTCCTACTGCACACTTCTCAATCTCTGAAGTCTATAGACTTGGGGGGATTCATGGGAGTAAAATTCCTCACAAATGAGCATATAGAGTACTTGTCCTCTTTTCTCCAAAACCTGACATCAATTAAGCTCTTTAATTGTAAAAATCTATCTGATTCAGCTTTTGTTATGATCACACAAAGATGCCCTCGTCTGTGCCATTTTGCGATGACTGGTTCAAGCCTCGGAACAGAAGAATACAATTATGACCGCCTAATGAAGAACCGTGCAATAAAGTACTTGAACCTAGCATTTCATTTTGACTTTAGCACTACAGTTCTGAAAAGGCTTCTTAACATATTTTCCGAAGTGGAGAAGCTCGACCTAAGTCATTGTGAATTCCTACGCCATGATAAACTGAATGTTCCTGATATACTAGAGTGCAACAAGAAGCTTGTGAAACTGGATTTAGGAGGATCCCATGGTATCAAGGATTTAACTGCAAAAGACATGTTGTCAGTGTTAGAGAAGCTGATTTTGAACTTTTCAGATATAAATGATAAATTGCTTATAAAGTTCGGGAGGATCTGCCCCAGATTGATTCACCTGGATCTGGCGTATTGCATTCAAGTGACAGAAGAAGGGGTAAAGGAAGTGGTGAAATCGTGCAAACAACTGAGATACTTGAGCATAAGTTGTTGTATAAATTTGGATATCAATATAATAGCATGGATAGTGACAAACAGACCATCCTTGAGAAAACTGGTGTCATCATCTCGCAAATACCCAGATGATGAAAACCAGAAACACTTCCTGCAGCAAGGCTGTCTTGTCCTCAAGGACACTAGTAGATTATTATTGTAATTTACAGTATCTGAATGTTTTATTTCCGCTTTCATTATCAAGATCTGTATGATAAATTTTTTTTGAAAGAAGATCTGTATGATAAATTGATAATACTCCATTACTTTTATTTTGTTATGTTACCTATTTACCTCGCCTTGGTTTGAAGGTTGAGCATAAACCTGTTGATTTTTAAGTTAGAAATGTAATTAACTCAAAGAAGTATCTAGACATGGAACTTCCAATTGGTATATCAAGCTGACATTAAAATGAGTCTAACATGATCTCATATGACTATATTATTTCTTATAGATTAGTGTTAAATTGTTTCTGTTCCATGTTCTCTTTACCTGCAAGATCCTAACATACATAGTAATGTGTGATTATAAGTTGCTGCTTTTCCTCTGTTTTTAGCCCTTGGCCTAAGTTGTTAGAAGTTCAATGCTACTTGCTACCATTTTAGATGTTGAAAAAACAATGTTCATCAGTTGGTTAATACTTTGGAAGCCTTAACATTAGGTTGGTTATAGACATATAGTTGTTGTCTTAGCGTTTAGAGTATGTTTTTGCTTATCCTCCTCGGTCATGAGTATTTCTACTCCTGAATCCCGAGACTGATTCTGTTTCTGAATCCATCCGGTGCACTATTAATTACCGATTGAAATTTCCCTGTCTAGTAAGTTTCTTGAGTAAATTACATTTCTTACTTAAAAAAAACAACAGGTTTATCCTCTACTTCAAACCAAGGTGAGGTAACAGCCGTAACACAGAAGAATGAAAGAAAGGGAGCATCATACAGATTTTGATCATGAAAGCAGAAAAGAAACATTCAGATTCAGTAAATTGCGATAACAATCTACTAGTGTACTTTTTACAATATAAACAATTTCAGACTATAACTTATAATGCATAGTGGTCAACATATGAATCATATGAGTATTCTAAACCCTTAAGGACAAGACAGCCTCTCTGCAAGAAGAGTTTCTGGTATTCGTCGTCTGGATACTTCTGAGATGGTGAGACCAGTTTTCTCAAGGATGGTCTAATAATCACTATCCATGCTATTATGCTGAAATCCACATTTTTACAAGAACTAATGCTCAAGTATCTCAGTCGTTTACAAGATTTCACCACTCCCTTTACCCCTTCATCTGTCACTCTCCTGCAACCCTCAAGATCCAGGTGAATCAATCTAGGGCTGATCATCGCTAACTTTGTAAGGAAATCATCTTCTACCCATGCATTCCTAGCTATCAACTCTTCTAACATTGAAGATTCCATGTTTTTCCCGGAATATTTTAGATGATGGGATCTACTTATATCCAATTTCACAAGGCGCCTGTTGCACTCTAGAATATCATAAACATTCAGACGATCAGAAAGAAGGAAACAACAATCGCGTAGCTTTAGCTTCTCCACTCCAGAACAGATGGTAAGAAGCCTTTTCAGAACTGAATGGCTAAAGTTTTGATGTGATGACAGGTCCAAGTGCTTTATTGCACAGTTTTTCTTCTCTAGGCCATCATAATTGTAATTTTCTCTTCTGAGGCTGGAATTGGTCATTTTAAGATGGTGTAGACGAGGGCATGTTTGCGTGATCATAACAAAAGCTGACTCAGATAGCTTGGAACAATCAATGAGCTTAATTGATGTCAGGTTTTGGAGAAAAGGGGACAAGTGCTCTATATGCTCATTTGTGAGGAATTCAACTTCCCCCAACTTTAAAGATTTCAGAAATTGAGAAGTGTACAGTAGGAGCCTTAAAAACCCGGTAAATGCATAGTTTTTGCTATATGTGAGGGCCAAGTCAGTAAGTGGAATTCGCGCTTCTACTATAGAAATGAGAAACTCATCCGATATGTCTACCCATTGGAGCCTTAGAGATCGTAAGTTGGTTAGAAAATTAGTACAGCCTTTGGTTCCGAATGATCCAATCCTAATATATGCAAATAAGTGTAAGGAGTTTAAATGATGGCTATTGTTTATAAGGAATGATATACCACTTTCTGTCACAGAATAACAATAATGAAGTTTAATCTGCTCTAATAATGCACAATTTTTTGACAGCGAAACAAGGGACTTATCTGATATATATGGTTTAGGTTGTTTCTCCGAAATATCTATCTTGCGTAATCTCTTGAGCTTGGATGATAAATAATCTATCCCTTCACCGGTCACAGCAATTGTATGATAATCACCTCTATTACGACAGTCCCCAATCTGCAGCTCCTCGAGCTCAGGGAACGATTCTGCTACTCTGACAAGATCAGCATCTCCCTGTCCACTTGCAAACCTCAGTACTTTCAGATTCTGCATCTTTGAACCTAGCTCCTCCAACCAAACTGCTGGCTGTTTTCGATCATGTGACACATCCAACAACTCTTCTAGGTCCAACCCAGACCTTGCAATCGCAACAACGGCTTCATTCAGGTCTCCTGAAAAGTTAGAGAACCGTATCTTCTTAAGGTTTGAGAATCGTTGCAGCAGCCTAGAGATGGTTGAGATTGGTGTACTAACTCGTAAAGAAGTGACAGGAATCTCTTGCAGACTAATGTGATTGATTCTCGGTCGCTTTCATGCTCAAGACGATCAAAGATCATCTCCCAGCATTCATCAAGCAATTCTGTGCTTTCTTTTTCTTCTTCCATTTCCATCTGCTCTTAATGGGATCAGATCAGATTTTTTTTTTTATTTTTTTTTAACAGCAACTCAAAGAAAACTAGCTATTAGCAACATGAAAAGTTTTATTGCTTTTGACTTGGTTTCCTTTACATAACATTATAACAATATGATCTCTTTGAATTTTGACTAGTTTTCCTTTACATAACAATCTTATCGAGTCAGAGCATTTTCTTTTTAGAATATTACGTTTGACATAGTTTCAGATACGCGGATGATCACCAAAGTCAAGATACAAAAAATTATTAAAAAAAACAAAAAAAGTTACTCCGCTTTTCTGATGAAGTTCAATTCACCTAATTTTTGCTCAACTGAAACACATGACATGATAAGTTGATACCATTCGTAGTACTTTCAATCAGCTACGAGGTATGATTCGTTTACAAACGTGTTGATTGTTTATATAATTTATTAATCTTAGAAAACATAAATAAACCTATAATTGTTCATTTGTTCACGTGTGCGCTACAATACTATATAAATTTTTAATTCTAAGCCAAAAATTATTGACATGTTTGCACAAGAAAGCAAAACATGTTATTTTGTAAACAGGTTATTGTATTCCCAAAGGACGTTAATGACCTATCAAGTATGCTTCGTAAAAGGCAATAATATAATGTGACTTTTGGGAGTTGGATTAATTAAATACCAATAGTTGAGATTTGCAAATGTGAGGCAAGTTGGCTAAAAGTTAACACAACACCGATTTAACTTGATAATACTCGTATAATATTGGATCGGGTGAGTAGAACGCACAATTACTTTATCATTATGACTCCGAATTGGTTTGAAATGAAACGAAACTTTTTCACTGCTTCTATAAAGAGTTGTTTCGTTCTCCATCGTTTGATTTAACACAACATAGAATGAAACTTTAGGTAAATTTTATATAAAATTGCTCCTACTAGTTTCCCAGAATATTTTTTTTCAGTTAAATTTGTTTTCCATTAAACTAAATAAGGCCTAAAAAGTGCAATGCAGGAACTGACAAAAAGAGTAACAAATATGGAGTGATTTAGTTAACAAATGAACAGTACTTTGTATATATGAGCTATGAAAGAATGAAGTCAACTCTGAACAGTTGCATTTGTACTTGTTTAGACTCTTTAGAGTACACTAGACAGTTTCTACTTAAATCTTTAGCTACAAGTAATAAAGTTGGCAAACATGTATGTGTCATGTTCCCGTTTGGACTCGTTTTCGATTTTCCTTTCATGCATAAAATGCAACATATCTATGCATAATGTGGGATAATCTCATAATATGATTAAATGCTCGGGTCATGTTCAGTTTTGTTTCATGTAGTGTTGAATTCGTGTCTTGCTCTCAATACCTATATGTTCATGTCATGCCGATTCCAATTGTGTTGCAACATCGTGTTGGTTCCAATGTTGAAGATGAATCAAGGGTGGGCACAAAAGTACACAACTACACAAGGGCACCAAGATCTTAAATCGAGCTTGGGGTGAGTTGCATGAAGACCAAAGTCAAGAAAATAAAGCTTTTACGAAGCTGACAGGAGGACAACTCCACCTGTTGTCCTCATCTTCACTAATCTCAAATTTTATAAGAGAATAATAACACGTCGCCATGTACAAATAAGAAAAATAAAACCCTATTTCTAGCTGCTCCAAGATGAATATGAATAATGGATTCATATAATTCGCATATCAACTAAAATGGAAGTATATTTGTTTTATTGTTTTAGGTTCAAGGAATAAATATATCTGAAGAATGAGCATCTGCCTGTTAAATTGGTCAAACGAGAGAACTTAGCAAACACACCACAATACAGTAGAAACTAAAACAAATCAAATCAAGAGAATAAAATTTTGATTCTTCAAAAGATATTTCATCATTAACACAAAAGAGAACACCTGAGAATAGGTACTCCTACTGTATATACCATATGTTGCTCTGACCCAAACATGTTTAATCTCTAAACGGACTTGAGTAAATACATATACCTTAACTGCACAATCGAACTTGAGTAAATACATAGCCAGAGCCTAAACCTGCATACAGTTGAAAAAACAAAAGGATCAAGATCATCTTCTTTTGACAGCAAAAATAGACCGATAGTCTGACAGATGATTCACATTCACTCTCACACCGGAAAATAGGAAATAATGTGTCAATCTAATCAACAAACATGGAAGCTCGAGAGTAATGACCATACCTAGATAGAAAATAAGCCGGCAAACAACTAACTCCTGCTCTGCAACTTCATGCATCATCTTTGTTGTTGATCAGAACCCGATGGTCCTACTGAAGGTGTAGTTGGCCCACTGCCTGCTGATCCATTTTCCATGGGAGGGGGTACACCCCATTTTCCTTCAGAT